GAAGACCCTCAACAGCCTTGCCTACCTGAGCAGCACTGAGAAAGAGCCATGGGAGAAGACAGCTGCAAGGAGATTGGCCTCTGGAAAGCCTTCTGGAGATGCTTCACAATCAAACCTAGGAAGACAGGGAATGAGCTTACACTAGGAAAGGACAGAGCTCAAAAAATATTGACACAAAACCCCAGCAAGCATCTTTCAAGAACAGGCCCAAAGAGCAACTCTTAGAAAGCCACTTGCCATGGGCTGCTGCTGTGAAGAAAGAGGACAGTCCTGGTCCTGATTGCTTGCCCCCCACTCCATGTCATGGTGCAACATGTCCTTAGAGGAAAATGGAAGCCATAAATCCAGCCTGTCAGAGCCTTTCACGCACAAAAATCTGGCAGTTTGCATCCAGCGTGAGGTTCACAGTCAGACCAGTTTAGAACATGCCCAAAAGTCATGGTGGGGGAAAAAAAATGAATACAACCCTTTAGAGCAGATAAACCTTCAGAAATTTGTTTCTAACCTGTTCTTTGTCACATCCAGAATAAAGTTCCTCACCCGCTGCTCATAACATGAAGGCAAAGCGTTTTAGCTGGGATGCATTAAGTGATGCCCTTCATGACAAAATTCAGACTTCTTTCTCAAGACCCGACTGAGTGATACCTAAGATTAGAGCAAAATGCTCTCCATCTAGGTGTACAGGGCCTTTCCTACAAATATTAGCCCAAAGTGGCTTAATTAACCTAGTACATGGCCAATTCTGCAAATACTGAGGGTGGATTTCATCTGAGTAAACCCAAATATTGACTATGCAGAAGTCAACATTTAAGCCAACCACCTCCAGTCCCCTCATCAGCAAGGGAGAGAAGGGAGTATTTCAAGGGTGTGATTTTTCTCGTCCCAAGACAGATGGATGATTCATGTCTTAATGTACTCGTTTCCCACAAAAGGATGGTTGCCTCTGGGTAACTAGTTCTCATGGGGATGTCTAATGTCCATGTCCAGTTATAGAAAGGGTGATGAAACCCCTGCTGAGATAGTGTGAAAATCTACTGTCCTCCCTGTCTCTGCTACCTGTACTTAAAATAGAAAATGAGTTTGGGTGTTTGCAGGTCAAGGCATCATTTGAGCTTGGTTTAACTCTTACTCCTAATTGACTTCAAGCTTCTTTCTGTTTAAATTGAACTGCAATAAAACTGCCTACAGGGGTTTCATCATCTCTGCGTGAAGTTGGTAAGGCTGGTTGAAAAAATCCTGTTTTGTTAACACACTACAAATCATCATAGACAGGTGCTAAATCTGTGCGTTTGCAATCTGCTCCTGCATTTCCAGGAGATTTATTTCAGTTTCCCTGAAAGGACATTTCTGAGGCAATCTTTTATACCGAATCCAAGGTAAAAAGCTGAATGACTGGACAAGGGGAATTGTTCCCATCATGGGGGACAGAGCCAACCTGCACGTCCCACTCCACCCTGTGGCCAGCAGCCTGTGTTTGCTCACACCAGCCCATTGGTGGCACCTGCAAGTCTCAAGCCGCCTCTGCTGTATGCCACCACCACGCACCTGTGACACCGTCCTTCTTGGGATGGCATTTTTTTTCCAGGACCTTGAAAGCAATGAAGTCCTGGTGCTGCTTCTGTGACGGCTCCATTCTGCTTAGGCCTGAAATAGCAAGAAACTTGGGGTTAGGACATCTCCCACCTGACAAATTAGATCCCTGGTGGTTTCACACTCGGGGACACTGGAGTTCACACTACCACCTGCTGCACAGCCACACAGCTGCTGCTGGCACAACCTGATGCACTCATGCTGGTGCCTAAGGTGTCTCCAACTCCCCCAAAGGGGCCCGTGAAACACCCTCCTGCTGCTCGGGGCCTGCACCCAGAAAATGAGCAAAGATGCACAGCTTGGATGTCACCACAAGAAGTTCAAAGCCCAAGGGTTGCTGTGTGGTGGTAGATCTCCACACTCTGGCTCTCAGCCCTATTTTTCCTTCTTGGCTTAATAATGAGGCACTTTTCTTCCTGCTATCCCAGTGAAAAAAATACCCTCCCTCCCTTTCTTCCCATGGCGGTGGAGGCGGCCCCTGGGGCCACCAGGGCAATGGCCGTGTCAGGAACGGAAGGGGAAAAAGGGAAGGGTAATTCCTTACCTTGCTCCAACTTGGCTGTCCCTCCTACTCAATTACTGGGCAAAGTTTGCTGCCCATGCAGGGCATTCTACCAGCCGTGGGGGCCTGGACGCAGCCCAGCAGAAAGGAGCGTGGCGGGGAGCAAGGCGCTGTGCTGGGCAGCCTGGGAGATGTAGTTTCGGTGGGAAGAGCGGCCCTGCGAGCATGAGGCGCTGCGGGGCCTGGCCAGGCGCGTCGCTCCGGCCTGCCGTGCCGGAAAGTTTCCGTGGAAACTCCCAGCGCTGGCGGCGCTTCCCCGGGACCCGCTTCGTGCTCACGCCAGGCCCGCCACGGCCCCGGCTTGTTTTCAGGAGAGACACAGCAAAGCAAAGCACATCTTTTGCTTTGCCTCTGGGTTTTGAGCCTGGAGGCATCACAGTTCCTGGGGTTTTGTTTGTTTTTGTTTTTCTCCCTGTTACTTTTCAAGCACAACAGATAAAAAATGTACTTTGGGAGGAAAAGCTGCAACCTCCATAAAATCCCAGGCATGGCAGCTTTTAACAAGAAATATGCACGTGGCAAAATAGCTGCTTCATCATAGCACTCGAGACACTAATCCTGGTTAAAACATATTCACAAAAATGACACACTTACCTCAGGAAAAAGCTCAGATGGCCTCCAGTGCTCAGAGCTGGTGGGACCAGGCAAAACGACCCAGCTGGATGGCAGTCAGCACATGCCCAGGCCATCCAGGGAGAGCTCCTGCTCATTTTCATCCCACGGGCATATTAATTAGGACAGGGAGGCACAACGCTGCGCATCCTCCTGCCACAGCTTCCACGGGAACTATAGCAGGAGCTGCTTGGGAGCAACTGGCAGGGACACCTGGCCCCAATCCTGCTTGGAGGATGGCCAGCCTCAAAGGCAGGTCCAGCTGCTGAGGGCCACATCCAGGTGGGCTGTGGAGGTCCCTGAGGACAGGGGTGCCCCACTGGAATATGGTCCCTCACACTCGTGCTCCCAGGCTGATCCCCTTTGGGCATCACCCTGCTGTCTGGCTCCCCCCGAGATTCATGTTATTTTTCCCCAAGAGACAGGTTTCCAAGGAGATTGACACCAGGGGATTCCTCTCTGCAGGGAATATTCCCATTTGGATCTGGATATAAATAATTAATCTAAAACGATAAATCTCACAGCAAATCCCTTCTTTTCAGCATTTCTTGATTCCTTTTGTGAAGGCTTAGGCCTCCTGTCCATAAGGTAGCCCACACCCTGTGCCTCCTCAGCAGCCCCAAATACAAGCACCAACCTGGGACTTGGAGGCTTTTTTTTAGACAAACTTGTCTTGGTGCTTTACTGCTGCTGGGATTTAAAGGGCTCCTTTCCCTGCAAACCCATCTGTACATTTTGGGATAGCTTCCAACACTCACAAGCAGGGAGTCACCAGAGTTTTACACAGGCTTCCTCTAAGCTGTGGGATCTAGATGCATTTGCTGCATCCCGTGGCTAAGCACACTCTTCCATGACAGAATGAGGCCCAGCCTAACAATCCAGCTCACAAGCTGAGGAGAAACTCATTTCCCTCTCATTTACTAACAGAGATTTGTTTTGGTTTTTATTACATTTCCCATGGGGGAATCTATCTGCTCTGGGCGTGCAGTTGCATGCTCAGCTCTCCAGGTACAAGTACATCAGCCCAGCTGGAGAGGTGTGGGAGGACAGGTTACCTTGCCAAGGGTACCAACAAGCACCGGTGGGGACACAAGGGGAACACCCCCCCCCCAAAAAAAGCATATCTAAAACCAACCCAGATATGTAGTCTGCACCCCATATTGCATTCATTCCCTTCTGAGCTCATTCTGTCTCTGTTTAAGACCAAGGCATTAATTCCCTCTATGCCCTTTTACGAGTATTTCTCAGGTGACTGATTTCCTCCTTCAGTTCATTATCTGGAGCCATCACATGCTGTTTTCCCCCAACACAAGCCACACTTCACCTGGTACAGCTATTTCAAAACAACCATGTCATCTCTTCCTTCATCACAGCCACTATTAAGCCTAGGGAATATTTATTAAGAAGCAGAGCAGCTTTTGTAGGTTATTAATCTCATCGAGAGTTTTCTCAGTCTTCCTCAGCTTCACAGAATCTTCTCAGCTCCCTGAGAGGCAGTCAGAGGGACCCCAGATGACTGAAAATAAACTGCTTTCCTATAGGACTGGGTCTTCACTAATGTTTCTGGCTCACCCACAGCAGCAAAGTGAGGAGGAGGGGAACTACAGCACATTCCTTGTCCTCACAACAGCTCCAGCTGCCAGTGGCCAAGGATTGCACAGGGCACATAGAGCCAGAAGTGGCACAGTTCCATCTGTAGAGGCGATGGCTGGAGAGTCCCACCCCAAGCCACATCTCAGGGCATGCAAGGCAACACAGACCAGAACCAAGTCAGGAACAGGCTAACGGTGAAGCAGCAGGAGTCCAGGGCCTGGGTTTGCTCCCTGCTTTCGTTTCATTTACCTCTTACCAGGGTGCAGAGCATTCTTATCACAAAGCAAGGAGTGGGCCCTGCATCTCCAACACCTTGCTTACCAGCCCACCCTCTATCCAAGCTTGAGGCCTGCACCGCTTAGGACCCTTCCCCGACTTACTGTTTCTCACTGTTTTTTGCCTTGTCTGGATGTATTTTCTCCTTCCCCCTCCCCAAGACACGCTTAGGAGGCAGTCAGGAGCTCACCCCTTGCCCATTTATTCACAGCCAAAATGCACACCCACTCCAGGGTGCTAGCACATCAGTCCTCTTCAGAAATATTGACAGACTCAGTGCTACCACGTGAGCTCCAAACTCTGGGCATATCTCCCCTCCACCTGCCAGCAGACATGACAAGCTGGTTCCTGTGCCAATGCCACCCCCCTCAGTGTCCGCTGCCTGCTGCTGGCCTGCTCCGAGGGGCTCTCTGTTCCTCTGGTTCATGCAGGGCAGTAGCAATGAGCTCGCCTCTTGGCCAAGCGTGCCCAGCCTGGCCCATGGTTGCTCCTGCGTGCTGCGAGGGCAAGGTGAGGAAGGAACAGGAGCCCCCCTATCGGGTGTGCAGGGGCAGCCTGAGGTGGGTCTTCAGCCCCAGGGCTTTGTCAACCACATCCACAGCTTGCAGGCTGTGCCACTGGGCGATGGGTCGCCGCGGGTTGGACAGCATGTCAGACCAGTGCCGGAGCTGGTTGCCTGTGGCCCGGCAGCCCAGGAAGAGTTTGCCAATCTGCTCGTTCTTGGTCATCTTGTCATGATCCCAAACAGAGATGACCAAGTCCACGTTCTGGAAGAGAGGGAGAAGATGGTGAGAAGGCCACTCAGCCCATGGCACACCATCACAGCATCATTGGCCAAGATTCCCAAGGAGAGGGAGTACGTGACAGCAGTTGCAGAGGGTCGGGCACCCATGGGTACCACTGTCCTTGCAGCCATTCTTGTCATCACCCTGTGTAATGGGGCAGAGGGGGGAGCGCTTTGGGATGTCCTCTAGACAGGGGAAACCCACCTGAATCTGATTGAAAGGCACCTCAAAAACAAACACTTCATTGAAGTAAGGGCTTAAGGTATTTTTCTTCACACTCGTCTTCCTCTTCTTCCACTTCTTCCTGTTCAGGATGAGATGCACTTTGACAAACGGATCTGCAGGAAGAGAGACATGACTGGGACAAGTGACAACTATTGTTTGATCCACTTGGGTGTCCCAAGCAGAGCTGGCAAGTCTGGTATGGGGTATAGTCCCTGTCTTGCCACGTCTCTCCTCTCTGCTGTCATCAAGGGAAGCTACACCCACCTCAGGCAGGGGCAAAGGGAGATCTGAATACGAGGGGCCCTCCTGACCTGACAGCCCATGGGAGTCCATCCTTTTAAGCTTCTTGGCTTCAACGACCACCACAGTCAGCTTGCCAGTGCTGGGGACATAGCGGAGTGAGAAGCAGACCTCGCCAAGCTGCTCTTGCTGTTGGAGAGATGTGAGCAGTGAGCACCAGATGGAGAGCTCGGGTGGAGGAGTCCGCGATGCTAGTGCAGCTGAAGCCAAAGCAGCATCTCAGGGCTACTTTCAGGGTTCTCTGGTGCTCTCTTCTCACTTTTGCACCCAAAAGGCTGCTTTTTCTCCTCAAAGAGGCAATGAGGGGAATGTGCAGTGTTTATAAAGATGCCCCTTCTGCTTCTTGGTGATATGACTAGCCAGTCTGCTCCTCGGGGCTGTCTCCCTGCCTGGGCACTTCAGGAGGGACACAGGATCCCCTCACCACCCAAGTTGGGAGCCTCAGCACCACTGTGGCACTTTGCAACTGGAGTCAGTGTTCACCCTCTTCCAAGGTGCCGGGAGGGGAGCGCCAGCACTTCTCCCATTCCTGGCTCTTCTCATCCCTTGCTACCCAGAGCAAGGGAACATGCAGGAAGCTGCTGCTCCCATAGCAAGCCATGGCACTGTGTCATGAAAAGCAAGACCCCTTGCTGGAGCTGCTGACAAAGTGGAGAGCAACACTACAGGAACAAGAACGTGGGGAGAGAAAAGGGGATGAAGCCTCCACGAAGGAGTTTTCCAGGATATGGCTCTTTCAGGCCAGCATCCCATCCAACCTCCCGGGACCAACCTCCACTTTGCTGGCAGCTGCGAGGTCGCTCCACTGCTCAATGGCACGCTGCAGGTTGACACTGGCCAGGGGCAGGCGGACCTCCCCAATGATGTCATGCTTGGCAAAGCGGTTGAAGTCATAGACCTGCATCACCAGCGTGGATTCGGGCACCTCTGCCTGGGGTACCTGCAGGGGCAGATCACAAAGTACTACCTCACTCTTCTGCCACAGACCTGTCTCACAGGTAAGGGCAGCAGATGTGGCAGAAGGTTCTGTACTCTGCTGCTTCCATGTACCTGTGACCAAGGCACCTCTCTATTCAGACAGGTTTGTGTCTTGTGGGCAGGGTCCATGCAGCACTTCTGATAGAATCAAGGAAGAATCAACAGGTCTTGTTCCTTACCTGGAAAGTGAAGCTCTCATTGAAGATAGGGTTCAGGGTCTTGCGATAAACCTTGGTCTCGTACTTCTTCTTCATGTCGGATGTTAGGTACACAATGACGTATGGATCGGAGGTGCCCCCACTGTCCATGGCCTTCAGGTCAGCTGCCTGCTTCACACCAACTTTCATCTGAGGAGGAAGAGCACACAAGGTGACTGAGCAGAAGAGAACAGGCCATGTGGATGGGGCAATGCTGGAGAACAGGCCATGTGGATGGGGCAATGCTGGAGACTCAGTGAAAAGCAACAGGGCATGGCCTGGATATAGGGGTATACTTAAGTGGACAGTGAAGAGTGACCATTTAAGAGAAAGGGGTACTAGGAGGAGAAAGGCCCCAGAGGCTTCTCCCAGCATAGGGAAACCTACTTCCTGTGCACGAAGGCTGTACTCCAGGGAGTACTGCAGCTTCCCACGTTTCTTGTCCTCGGGACTGGGCTCCAAGTCTTCCATTTCAGGTTGCACCTGCAGTAAGGAAGCAGCACTTGGTATCGAGGGTCTAACTGGCCACCATGGAGTTCCTAGGTTCCCAGAGAGGGAAAGGATCACATACGAGGCCGGCTGTGGTAGAGCTGCTGACAGAAAGCAGGTTGACTTTCTCCTTCTTCTTGGGCTTCTTCTTGCTGCAGCAGCACTTGACAACACAGACAAGGAAGAGGAGGAGGAGAACAGCCACTGCGACAGCCACAGCAATGAGTGCCCATTTGGGTACTGGTGCAGTGTTCAGAGGTGAACAGAAGGTTAAAAAATAAAAGAAATATCTTTAAAGCCACCTTTTTCAGCATTAAGGAAGTGGACTTCCAGAATTCCTCTCTATCCAAGAGGGCTGGAAGTTGATCATCACTCTGATGGAAGCTGAGGTGCTCCTGTCACAGTTCAGTCCATCCCACGTGCTGGTCACACTGTATTGTCCCCCTCACTCCTCCTGCCCCCATCTACCTCCTTCAGTAAACCTGCCCCAGTCTCACCACTGCCTGCCACGTAAGACACCCCTACATCAGAAGCCACAGTTGCATCCTGGCTGCAACCCTTCTGCTGTTTCCCCTCACACCATGCCAAGCCCAGCAGCATCACTGCAGACCTTGTACCTTGCCAACAGCCCAGGAGGCCTCAGGTGCCCAGGGAAGACCCTGGGCTGCTCTGGCACTCGCGTACTCACATGGGATGGCACCCAGCAAGGCGCCAGCAAGGCCCGGCCGTGCCGTGGGGCTGCGAGAGGGCAGCGGGGCTGCAGTGCCGCCGCTGCTCGTCTCCTTGGCCATGACTCAGCTCCAGCTACCTGGGAAAAGCAAACACACGCCGTGGGCAAGTGCCCACGCTCCCCGGGGTGCGTGCACTCCTGCCGTCTCTGGAAAAGCAAACACGACTCAAAGCAGCGATAAAACGCAAGCAGAAGCATTTAGGGCTTGGCCACTTCCGAAGCAGGGCGTGAAACGTGGGAGCGCGCCGCAGGACGGGCCCTGCCCCGCGAAGCACGGATGGAGGAGACGCCAGTGAGTACATTCCTGCACGCCAAGGTATGGCCGTGTTTACCTTGGCGCTGCCGCCAGGCCCCGCGCGCACCAGGAGCCTCCAGGCAGGGCAGCGGGCTCCCTGCACGCGCGGCACCTGCGGAGGGCCGGGACCGTGCTGTCCGGAGCCAGCCTCCGGCAGTGTCCCACAACATCCCACTGCCCAAAGGGCTCCCCCAGCACAGCTAAAGGATTCGCCCAGTTCCTCTTGTTTGCAGTAAAACAGCCCCCCAAAGTTTCCAGCAAAGCCCTGTCACAGCCAGCACTGCATTCCCCCCAACCTCACATCCTGCCTTTCCCCAGGAAAGGGCGGCAGGGAGCCTCATCTCGCCCACGCAGGGACAGAGGGATCAACTTCATCCCCGTAGCTCTGTTGGGGAAGCAAGATGCAGATTAAGCGACTTGCCTGAGGTCATTTGGGACACCCTGGTCCAGGAGAGAAAGCGGCATATCCGAGTAGCTGGTTTGGGCAGGATTCAGTGATTGCAGTGCCCCCTCTCCTCACTCCATCCCGGCTCCCCGTTCCCCCAGGATAGCAATGCAAGGATGCCAGGTGCCAGGAGGGCGACCGGAGCCACCAGGACTTACCGGAGCACAGGAGCTGCTGAAGCAGGAACTGGCGCTCGGGAGCAGCCCCACCTCGGGGACCGGCAGCTGATATTTCACAGGGCCGTACCCCGCACCAGCTTTATCTCGAGGGAGGGATTTTCCCCGTTTCGCTGCCTTTGTGCTGCTTTAGTGGGCACTCTGCAAGCCCCTTTCGGGGCAGACAGAGGCCTGCTGCCTGGGGGCGTGTTGCAGAGGCACCCACAGGCTCAACACACGTGTGACAAAGCCCTCGCAACGCCAGCACGGCCAGGCAGAGGCAGCCCTAGCGCACACCGCTTATGCCTGCTCCTTCCTCCCTTTGCTGGCAGTGGAGCAGAGCTAACCCCAAGCTCACCTTGTCACGGCTGAAATATGCGGTGGTGCTGGAAGCTGGGCGCGCGGTGCGATATGAAACCACGGGAGGAAGGCGCCGGGCGAGCGGCCGCCGATGACAGTGGCGCAGGATGGCCCCAACCCACGGGCCCAGCTGGATTTTCCAGCAGCCACTCGGACATTGCAACCCCAGCACAGCCAGCAGTGCCACAAGAGAAGCGTGTGGTCTTCCCCCGGCCTCCTGAAAAAGAGAGATCCAATAAATTGGGACCAAAAGAACATTTCTTCCTTCTGCCCTTTGACAGGGATGCAGGGGGACTGAGGGGGCAGCACGTGACAGTGGCAAAAACAGACACCTCCAATTCCCAGGTTACTTCAGAAAAAACAACATTAGAAGCCAAGCATTCAGTTTTGTGCTAAAAGCTGAACATCTGAGCAGCCGTTTTGCTTGTCAAGTGCAGAGCTAGGTTTCCGAAACCCCACCTAGAAGTGCCGCACTAGGGCACCCCTTGGCTCGCCAGCCTCGCGGTGCCTCGCCGAACTCGGCACTGTGGCACAAGCCCGCTTTGCTCCCGAGCGCACAACCCCTGCGATCGTGGCCAAAAGCGCAGCAGCTCCTCAGTCAAGGCTGGCAAGGAGAGGCCTGGCGACGCGATACAAATAACGCGGCTGCCACGAAAGCGGAGCAGCCCCAGGGCCTCACGGCGCAGCCCGGGAAAGGCAGTGGCGCCAGCGGCCCAGGCGCTGTGGCCGGGCTCGGCGCCAGCCCGAGGGGCTGCCTACAAGTCCCGCCTGCTTCCTGCCTGCCGCCACACATATAAACAGCAGCAGCTCCTGCCGAGCGCACGCGCTGCGGCTGCGGCGCGGAGGAGCGGGGACAGCACGCACCGTGAGTCTGCTCTTCTTCTCTTTGTTACCTTCGGTGAATTTGTTTCTCATCTGGCAATAAGAAATAGGATAAGATGCATGCGTCACAGTGGGAGGTATAGATAGGGTTCCATATACATACCTACATCTATTATTTGTGTATTTATGTGGTATACACACCAGTGGGGTGTGCATAGGGAGGGGGATATATATGCAATGTATCTGTATATGTGGTGTCCACAAACTGTATTGCAGTTAGCTATATGTAGTTGAACCAAAAGGAGATATCAGAGTGAATTCTCAGTGCTTAGAAGAGCTGAGCAAGAGGTAGTCCTACCATCGGAAATGGGAATCCTGCTCCCTGCCCCTTCCTTTCCTTCTTTTCTTGCTGAGAGAAAGCAGTTTTTTCTGTCAGGCTCACGTGGAGCCACAGGGCCAGACAGTGTCCCAGCAGAGCTGCTGCCAGCAAACGCAGGCTCAGTCTTCAGGCTGTCCCGCCAGCGGGTCAGACACATAACCCTCTTGCCCTTCTTTTTTCCCCCCCATTTTTCCCTCTCTGGCTTGGATGCATTTAATGCACTGGTTTCATCAGAGACTTGCTGCCGGTTGCAGCCAAAGGGGGAAGATGGCAGAGACCGAAAGCACCGTTCTCAACACCAACGTGAAACAGGTCAGTCTGTCCCTGGGCGCAGCCTCGGCATTGCCCAAACTTAACCCCAGCACCTTCTGCACGTCACCCTCAGCAACGAGGGCCACAGCATGCCATTGCAGTGGCCCAGATTGCTCATGCCCAGGAACTGGAGCCCTCCAATGCAAAGGCTGCCTCCGCAGCAGCCCATCTGAGGGCTGCAGGGTCTTTCAGCCCCAGGAGGTCCACAGCCTCCACAGCAGGAAGAGGCTGCAGGGCTGAGGCTTTAAGACAGCTGGCGAGCACAGCATGCTGAGCAGCTCAGTGGTGCCCATCTCAGCACAAGGAGGTGACCCAGGCCATGTCAAGCCCAGACCTGCCCAAACAATGGAGCAATCCCCTTCGCATGAACTGTGTCCTCAGCATGCGTCATGCTTACCCGACAGGTTGGGCCGTCACAGCCACCAGCTCTGACCTTGGTGGCCAGAATATCAGTTCTGGTGCACACAGGACGTCACAGGCATCAGTGAAGCCAGAAGTGATGGCACAGGAATGATGCCTCCAAAGTCTGCCCCAGCCACCTTCCTCTCCTGATCTTTTCTCCTTCCTGGCTCCACAGAAAGACCCCAGTGAGGCACTGGTCATCGCAGTGACAGCTAGGGCCATCTTCAACCTGGAGGAGGAACATGCGCTCTTCTTGGCCAAGGGCAAGGACGAGTACGTGAGGCACCAGCAGGCCAACCAGAACAAGCCTCTGCCCCCAGGCACAGCCTTCAGCTTCATCCAGGTGAGCCCCTAGCCCAGCCGAGATCACCGAGACTAACCTGGCTTGGTGGCTTTTCCAAGCTTTCCAGCCTCCCCCTCCACCAAGGAGAACTTCCCCATCAACATCTTGCTTAGAGCATGGGTTGAAAGTCCATTTCCATCCTGACTCTCAGCTACCGGTTGATCACACTGAGCTACTCCCAACTTTCAGCCTCATTATTCCCATCATGGGGGTGTAGATGCACATGTCCTGGCCCACTGCAGGCCATGCCAGTGGCACCCTGCTCTCCTGGCTCTGCTTTTAGCAGGATGCCCACGCTGTCTGGCTCCCTCTGGCAAACAGTGCTGTATAATGCCAGCTGTGGAGCAATGTCCTACCCATGCCTGACCCCCATCCCTATCCACTGGCTGTTCCTACCCATGCCTGGCCCCCATCCCTGTCCACTGGCTGTTCCATCACAAATCAGAGCCTTGGCAAAGTCATCACCGGCACCAACCTAGTCTGAGATGACGGTTGCAAGCATTTGATGCCCATGTTTGCTTCTCACAGGCAGTGCAGCACGTCAATGAGCAACTGCTGGCGGATGACCCGATGGAGCAGGACCTCTTTGACATCATTGTGCTCTCCAACAACAGCCCCGAGAGCGGCGCGCGCATCATCAACAGCGCCAAGCACTATGGTACAGGGGGGCTGGTGCTGCCATGAGGCCACCTCTCATTTGGGGTGATATAAAACAGATACACCAAGAAAGGGAGGCATCCTCAGGAGTGCAGACCCCAGTGTCAGGAGCTACTCAGCCCCCAGGGAGGAGTAATGTTTTAAGGGAAAGGGGTAATGTTGGCACAAGTCAGATTCCTACTGGCTCCAAGTAGTTTTCTAAGAGTTCCAGAGCACCTTGCAGGGGCCAGAAGGGAGCCTGACCTGGCCTCCTGCCTTACCTGCTGCACAAGTACTTATATCAGTGGGACTTGGCAACACTTAGGGTAGCCCCTGCCTCCTCATCCTCAGGCAGCAACTGGAGAATTAAGGGCTATAGTAAAACCCCAGCATGGCTCTCAGAAAGACTCCTAGAGGAGTGACAGGGCAAGACAATGCAGCAGGAACAGCACCAAGTTCCCTGAACTGCCTTGGGGAAGGTCACTAAATGCTATCATTTCAGGTAGCCCCCTACCATAGGGCTCATCATGGTTAAGATATAGGGATGTCCTTTATGAGGAAGGGAAGATATTCCAGCTCTGGTGCTTCTGCATGCCAAGGTCCAGGGAGGAGTGGGGCATGAAGCAGAGGACACTCTCCCCTAACAGATTTTGCTCACCTGTCTTGCCCTGAAGGCCTGGAGATCTCCAAGTTCTGCTTCGTCAGCGATGAGGACTCCACACAGTACCTGAAATCCCACCACGTGAAGCTCTTCCTCTCAGCCGACCGGACAGACGTTTGCAACGCTCTCCGCAGAGGTGCTTTCCCTCTGCCCCACACAGCCCTTGGGCCCCACCATGGGGTGTCCTTGTGCTATGCCCAGGTCCCATAACCCCAGACCTAACTCTGTAGATGGACTATGCTTTCCCAGAGCAGCAGAGAGCCCACATACAAAGCTCCGCCTTGGGGCCTGTGGCCACTCCCTAGATGGGTGAGAGGGAGCACCTGGATTTCCTGGGATTTAATAAGGATACTGTAGACGTTTGCTTGCTTAGCACAACAAAAATTAACCACATACTTAACAATAAGGACCACTTTAAAAGACAGGCTTGACCTGATTTGGAAGGGGTATGGTCTACTCAACAGCTCTAATGGGGTTAATCTCATTAATGTGACTGATTTGGTTGGGTATTGAGCACAGCAGCTGACCAAGCTCCTTTCAAGTTAATAACAAATCAACTACAGCCTTTGTTTTTTGTTTTTTGTTTTGTTTGTTTGTTTGTTTTGGGGTTTTTTTGGTGTTGTTGTTGGGTTTTTTTTTTTTTTTTTTTTTTTTTTTGGGCGGTGGGGCTGGGGGAAGATGTTCCTTAGTTACAAAACAATTCCTAAACTCTCCTTGGAGAATACCATTGCTCCAACAAGTGTCTTATCTGGAGTCCTCAGTCTGCGGATGAGATAGGGAGCAGCTTGGAGGAAAGGAGCCGTAATTAAGCCAATTATGCCAATCTGGTGGAGGTGCCAGTCCCTATTACTCACAGTGTGACGTGGTAAATCCAGACGCTAAACCTGGACTTGGCAGAGCAAGCACATGCCAGGAGAAGGGTGGCCTGCGCCCGCCATATACGCTGCCACCTGGAATCTCCTCATGGCCCTTGATGTCTCTCCAGGCTTTGGCCAGCAGCCACTTCCTTGGCCCCCAAGTAATGTAGCCCTAGAAAGGCTGGTCACCAACCCACCCTCACCAGCATCTTTCCCAGAGACATTGGTGGTGTTAGGCAGGGCCATGGCAGATGTCCAGGGAGGAGCTGCTCATGCACAAGCTGCTCTTTGGACAAGGTGTCCTACCTGAATGCCCCCTCTTCTCCCCCTACACTGTGTCTCGCAGGGGTTTCTGCAGCACTCGTCTTCCAGCAAGAAGTGCAGACCTCCAGCACCCAGCTGCGCGTGGTGTTTGATGGCGACGCTGTGCTCTTCTCGGACGAGACGGACCAGGTCTTTCGGGAAAAGGGACTGGAGGGAGCTGTGCAGTACGAGAGGGCCATGGAGGCTGTGCCCATGGGAGAGGTGAGCCAGCTGCCCTGGCTGCATGGGCAGCTTGCATCAGGCTGCTAATGTCTCTCCCTTCTGCCAAGACATTGCCACAAGCCCCTTGCAGAACAAAAAGCACAAATCCTTATGGTTTCCTTTCACATTAGCTAGTTCCCAGCCGTTGCTGCAGCCTCACCCAGCATTGCACTGGAGATGTCTCCTGTAATGAGCCCTGAGTCTCAAATAGCTGGAGACGGGTCAGCTGTGGTCACCCACAACGCCCTTGTCACCTTTAGGACCTCTTGTGATCCAAGTCACTGGGGGTTTCAGACCCCAAGGTGCCGCTAGTTGGGATGTGCTTCCCTGGGCACTCCAGGATTAGCATCAGCACCACAGTACTCCACTGTCTTCTGACCACCGCAGGGTTGAACCAAGGACAGTGTATGAATGCACAGTGCCAACCCAACACTGTCCAAACACATTCCTTGCAGGTCTGTGCTCTAAAAAGGCCTGGAAAATCCCGCAGTGGGAAAGGGTGGCTTGTGTTCTCTCTGTTTGCTCTTCCACAGAGCAGCCACTTCTTCCTACTTGCTCCCCATTTTCTGTGTAATTCCAGGGTCCTCTGAAGGCTTTTGCCATGCGCCTTGGGAAGATACGAAAGAAGTTCAGCCAGGAGAAATCTCCCATCCGCACCTATTTGGTGACAGCCCGCAGCGGCCGGGACATGGGCATCCGAGCCATCAAGACGCTTCGGGAATGGGGCTTGGCCATTGATGAGGCCTTCTTCATGGACGGGGCTCCCAAGGGCCCCATCCTCACCCAGATCCAGCCCCACATCTTCTTTGACGACGGCCTTCATAACATACAGGGGGCTCAAGAAGTGGGTGTACCCTCTGCCTGGGTGCCCTCACAGTGCTGACAGCCCGGGCACCGAGGGCCAGCAGTCCTCCCTCTCAGCAGCATGAGGGATTGGGTCATTTCAAGGCAAAACATCTGGTTGCAAGGGAAGGGCCTGCACGTTTTCGGGCCAGGCCTGGGAGGTGCCGAGTCCCAGGAAGCACATTGAGGTCCCGGTCCTTTCCACAGTAGCCACCAGGGGACAGCGTGCTGTGCTCCTGCTGCAGCCCAGCGTCACCGCAGGGGTGAAAGGCGTCACGGATGCATGGGCCCCTTCTTGAGGGCAGTGAGCGAGACAAACCAGCGTGCCTCTAAGTGCCCACCAAAGATAGACTTCCTGGGGTCCCTCCCAGTGAGGCTCTGCCTTGCTAAATGGTCTAAAAAGGCTGCTGGCCTCCCGTCTCCAATGACACAAAAAGTTCACAGCCAGCAGGATGCTACCTCTCCAGCTCAGCTTTTTCTGCAAGGTTCTGAGATGCAAATTTTACCATCATTTCAGAGGAATAGAGCTCTACGGTCAAAATTTTAATCGCATTTGCTTGAAACTCAACAGATTTCATGAAACTGAAATTGCGGCGTGAAAAAAGAAAATGCAGTTGAAAAACTGCATGAAAACACATGGCTGCAATGACTGGTAGGACTGGTATTGCTGACTGGCCCAGTAAATCCAGCCTGCCTCACATAGGCCTCGCAGGAAGGGGCTCAGGGCTTGCACTGCTCCAGTCTCCAGCAGGGCACACCAAGGGCTCCTCAAATGCCCAAAATCTCTGAGACCACCCTCACAGGGGCAAAATTCTCTCTCTTGGGGCTCTTTGTTTTTAACCTAATCATCCTGCTTTCAAACAGGCCTGTGGTTTGTGAGCTGCCCCCATCCTCTTTGCCACTGCCGTTCTCGTTTATCTCATTTGCACCACAGCGATTCACCTATCATGTTTTATTCCTGTTTCAATATTGGCCTAGTTTGGGTCTTAGAAGAACCCAGTAGATCCCCAAAATGGCTAGGCAAGGATAAGAATGGGAAGACTGAGTGGGGACAAGGATGTTGTGGGGGATTGACCAGAGCTGGTAATAAAATACATACTCAATGCCTCTCTGGGCACGGAAAAGTCAGTGCCTGGCTAAGGGAGAAGCACGATGGACATGTGCCATGTGGACCTCCTGCCTATCTGCTTGCAGCTAGCATGGGAACATGAAGCCAGCAAAATGCTACTCCTGCTGCCAAGGGACTTGGGGATGATGGCCAAAGGGAATTAAGATGACAATGCTTTTATATGTCAGTGGATCAGAAAGCAATTTCTTAAATAGATTTACAGGTGTCACTCTCACCGATGATTTTTCCTCTAATAAAGATAGAGCCATATGTGATTTGCTGCTGCTGAGAGTTCCTGTCCTCACAGTTGTGCTCAATGATGAAGAACTGGGGGAAGAAGTAACCTAGTGTAATCATTTCGGTTTAACAACCCACGCCCTATCCACGTGTATATGGAGAGACGTCACATCAAGCACATTAGGCTCAGCTTAGTGCTGCTGAAATCACAGGAAACCTTTAGCAGGCTTCAGGTTAGCTCCCTGCAGCACAAGGGGCATCGAGGCAAGCACTGAGCTGTAGAAGATGCTGTATCCTTAATTTAATAGAATTTCCTCCCCAGCCTGTGCTCCCTTTTCTACCTCTCTGCATTGGCTTCCGTCCAAACGACAGCACCATCAGCAGCATCCAGCACTAATCGCTCACTAATAGCGCCAAGTGCTTGTCATCTCCGATCGCTGAGCAAACATTAATTAGAGCATCCTCCAAAGGTGCCTGCTAAGCAGGTACGGGCGCTTGTCCCGGTTTCACAGGGGCCAGGTGCCCCACACGCCGTGTCCTGCATCCCCCCTTGCCAGGCCCAGCACATCTGTGGCAGCGAGGGAGGTAGCCAGTCTGAGCAATAATTTAATGCTGACCCAGGCAACGAGTCCAGCGAGAGGGAATTAGCTGAGTCACGGCCAGCACGGACAGACACATGGGGCCGGGGGTTCTCACCCTGCACCAGTAAAGCTTCTTTGGTGCAGGGTGAAGTCGGTGCACGTGAGCAATTGCAGCATGCAGGCTGTGGAGGAAGGAGCAAGGCGGCCACGCGCCCGTCATCCAGCGCTGTCAGCACAGGAGGAAGGATGACAGTGCAAAATGTGCCTGAAACATGCCCAAAATGGGAAAAGGGAAGGAAACATCAGGCTTCGAGGGCTTGCTTCATGCGAGGGCTGCAGTGCCAAGCACTTCTGTTTCAGGCTTGTCTCAGCAAAGGACTTTTGGCCCACATCTCCTGCAAGGGTTGCTCCTTGCCCCATGCCTCGGCTTCTCTCTGGGGGCTGCAGAGATTGTCCCCATTTTTGCCATCTGTCTGTCGGGGACCTGCTCCCGCAGGTGCTCTGACCCCCTCGTGCTGCCCTCCTTCTCCCTGTCCCAGGGGAGATGCAGGCTGGGGCTCGCAGCTGCTCAGGGCCAAGGCGTTTGTAGAAGACCTTTGCCCAGCAGCGTGTCCTTAACGCCATCGAAAAGGAAGATAAATGGAGGGCAGGGGGCCGCCAGTCCCAGCCGGGCGGTTGAGCAACGTGGTGCGAGGCTCACCTGCACGGGGGCTCGAGAACGCCTCGTCCCGTGACTCATCGCCGGCAGGCTGAAACCCTGCCAGCGGGAACACCCAGCGAGGCCGAGAGACGTTAATAACGTCTTCCACCTTGGATTGTAATGAGGTTCCCATCTTGCCCAACTGCTCCTCTGGGAGCCTCTCTAGTTTCCTACGGCTCCGTTCCCGCAGGGCGGCAGCTCTTCAAGGCAGCCAACCCACCCCACTCCTCCTCGGCGCTCCCCGGGGCCCTGCACATGACCCAGTCTCCTTTAATATATAATGTTGCTTCTATGCAAAAGACCTCAGAAACAGAGGAATTCAGAGGTCACCAAGAGAAAAAAGAAACACCGAAAACAAGTTCGCTCTTGCCAAGGAGCTTCAAGGCAGTTTTGAGACCTTAATTCCAGACATCCAGATGGGAAAATCCTGGCACTGGCACACAGTGAGGCCTGTGCTTAGGAAAAGGCCTATAAATCTGTATAACTACAGATTTATGCACAGATTAATATGTGGACTCACACAAAGAGAATTGCTCACTGGAGTCCCCATTGCACATCCACATACCTTCACCTGGTTGTACCTAGAAGCACAGGAAAAAGCGGAATTGCCCCACAATTGCATTTTTGGCCCCTGGGGCTGTCCCCGGGGGGCTGTTCGCTTCCACAGGGCGCTCACGCATTTTCCCAGAGGGTGGCTGAAGCACAGCAGGGCGCCTGGAGCGCTGGCGCCGGCACGACGGAGGCCGAGGCGCGGGGAGGCTGCCCTTGGCGGAGGCACCGCACTTGGAGCAAAGGGCCCTGGGTTTCGGTTCTGCAAGCGCCGCGGCGCTTGCCATGAGCGTGACTCAGCACCGTGCCAGCACGGGGACAAGCGGGGTCGCTCCCCAGCCCCACGGCGCCCAGTGCCATTTCTCACGCAGCCCGGCAGAAACCAGAGACCGGGCCAAAGCCCAACGCTTTGGGCACAGCCCTGGCTGCAAATACAGCCCAGGCAGCAGCAGCTGCTCCCCTCCTCCATCCCAACAAAATCCTACCCCCAAAATCACTTTCTTCGCATCCCTATGGTTTGCCAGGAAGCCAAGTGTCCCATGCAGCAAGAAAAGCGGGACATGACTGTGAAAGCCCGCCAGCATGCGGAGGTGTCCTCTCGCACGGCTTGCACCCGGCAGGAGGGTGAGATGCCTCGGGACAGGGGCAATGCAGGCACGGGCCCAGATCCCCATGCCCATCACATCCTGGCGTGGGAGGAGATGAGCGGATGCGATGGTGCCACGTCTGTCCCCTTCCCGTCAAGCAGCCATCACGCGGCCCCGGCAATTTCGGGGAGGCTGCTGCGAAACACCTCAGGTGCGACCAACACCCTGAGCTGCCGGCCTGGGGCAGCACCCAGCAGTGCGGGGGCGGAGGGGATCCGGGTGACGTGAGGTGGCAGGGATCTGGGATTAGGGCCACGGCCGGGCAGCCGCCCTTGCCCCCCAGCGCCATGGGGCTGGGCAGGGTGAAGGCCACCCAAGCAACAGCCACCCTGCAGCCTTGGGCTTTGGCAGCTCTGCTTAGTATCTGCCCAAGGTGACAGCAGCCCGGCTGGCAGCAGCAATGTTTGCGCAGGAGCCCAGCCAGGGGTCTCACCCTGGCCAGGGAGCACTCAGGAGGGCCTTGCCTTTGCACACCCTTGGAGGCTTCCAGCCGCCTCGCTGACCCTGGGGCCCCCTGGGCTGCTGGGGACCCACAGGTGCTGCCTGGGTTTTAGGGTGAATTTTGCGTTGGCGCAGGCAGCAGCGTTGGGAGCGGGTGAGGTCCTGGCACTCCATGGGGAAAAAGTTACTGCCAGAGCCAGAGCCGGTGAATCCGGCTCTGTTCATGAGCTGCATCACAGGCTTCACAGCAGCACTGTAGCAGCCCCGGCACGACCATGTCTTCCAGCAGCTCGGCGTGCGGATGCTCTGCACTCTGTGCCTCCTTGCGGCCTCCCACGCGCAGCGGCAGCGCCCAGGCCTGCTGCGTCTTGCTCGCACTCCTGCTCCTCCTTGCCGTCGGCTCGGCTCGGCCCGGCCCGGCCCGGGAACGCTCTTCCCCCTGAGCCCTGCCATGGGCTGCAGAACCTCCAGTGCCTTGGCCGGGGCACCCGCAACGCCCGAGCCTGGGAACGTTGTCATGACGGGCGAGCGCGGCTTTGCGAAACCACAGCCGGCTCCCTGAACGCGCCGGGGACCGCGTCAGCAGCCGCCCACAGCACGGCCGTGTTGTGGGGAGAGCCCCGCGCGCTGCCTAAGCGGCCCCGCCGCCGAAACGCCCAGGGACGCTGCAAAACAGCCCTGGAGAAGCACCTGGCTCTGTTTCCAGAAGCACTGCTTTAGGAGCAGCCGCGGGTCTTTGGGAGAGGGTCACCGAGCGGTCTACGTATAGGTACAGGGAGCCCCAAGGCTGGCTGGCCTGGGCACAGGCAGACGGATGGGAGAGCTGGCAGCAACGCTTCCTGGGTGTGAGCACCGTGGTGAGGACCGGCACCCTCACATTTTCCAGCAAAAGCCTCCCTTTTTCCAACAAATCAGTTCCTTAAAATAGGAAAGGGTAAATCTTCCCTCATGCCATTGCTTCCCAGCAACATTGCCCACAGCCTGGCCTGCAGCCAGGACACGTCTGGCACCCAAGAGCAAGTAGAGAGGCAGCAAGGAGTGACCTGCACCATTGGTGCAATACGCAGGACAGCTCCTGCATGGAAGCCCACCACACTGCTCGCAGGAAACCCAAGGAAAGGCTCTCTGCTTTTCTAATGGCAAAACTTGTCCTTAAATCCCTTGCAAATGGAAAAGTAATCCACAGATCCGGTCTGTGCTGTTGTTCTTCTGCATCTCAGCCCGCTCACAGAGGCTCTGGCCGCCCCCGTGATCCTGCAGCCAGACGTGGCCGGCGGCCTCCTTGGGCTTCCCAAGAAGTCCGAGGTTGACCAGAAGGTCAGACTGGAAGAACCACCTGCACGGGGGCCGGTGCGTGGGCTGGCCACAACTAGGGACCTCGCCGCAGTGGCCCCGCGGGGGCTGTTTTCACCAGCCTCTTCCTCACCACTTCAAAGAGGAGGGAGGAGGTTTTGGCACCTCTTCAGAGGCGTCCAGGCTGCCTGGGAAAGCTAAAGGGGTTACACGGGCTCTGTGTGCTGCCCCAGGGCTGCGGCTGGCGTGGGGAACGTCCCCTGGGAAGCGTCTGCTTGGCTGCCCAGCAGGTTTCACAGGGGGCTCCTCCGCATGGAGGCTCCGTGCTCGGAGAGGCCATGTTAATTCTGGCGACCCAAGGACATGGTAGTTTCCCAGCTGAGCCACTGGGCACCAGAGACCCCAGCATGTGCCAGGCACCTGAGGCACAGCCACTTCTCCTGTGCCTATGGAGGCACCTTGGCATCTTCTGAGACCCGGGCCTCCAATGCCTCGGTCCTTCCCAAAGCGGGGCAGTCACGAGGTCACCGAGGCAGGACATGGCCTCCCACGTGTCGGGGTAGCCCAAGGGAGCATCGCCCCTGGGGCCGGTACTGGAAGGGCAGGGAGGCACCGGGACAAGGCTGGCAGGGGCAGGTGCTCCCATGTGCAGAGTGCCAGGGTACCAGCCCAGCAGCAGCTGGTACCCACTTCCAGCTGGTGCCCAGGTGCTGGAACCAAGCAAGGGAAGAGGCCAAACGCTGCCAGCCCTCAGGGCTGAAAAGGACCAGGACCAGGCAGTGAAACAGCAGGGAGGCCAGGGCTGACTTTTAGTTTTTTTTCCTCTTGTCTCACGGTGTTTGCAGAAGCTGGGCTGGGGATTTTGGCGCGGGGCGCCGAGGGCCGCAGATCAGCCTTGCTGCGGTGCCCGCAGCCCTTCACGGGGGCCAGCTGCGCTCCTCGCAGAGAGCGCTCCTTGGCCCAACCGCGCCCTGCTGCAGGCCCCGTTCTCCGCACAGAGCAGGGGAAGCTGGTGGCGGAGTGGGGCTCTGGCAGCGCTGCCTCCCCGGCCACATTGCAGGGTCTAAGCTCCACTGCCAAACAGCAGGCTCCTCCGGTGCCCATTCCTGGGCTTTTTTGGGGAAGGGGGGGCACCTTGGCCAAGCTGAGTGGGGCCAGGGGCTGGGCTTGCAGGGCTGTCGTCCGTCCTTGTCCCCCCTCGCTGGGCAGAGAAAAGCCTGAAAACCTGGAAAGGGGGAGGAAGACGGGAAAAAAAATAATAAAATAAAGAAAAAAGCAGCGCGCAGTGTGCAAAGCGGCCTCGTGATTGCTGTAATGGTGTTTATTGCTGCGCTGCCGGCGGCTGAGTCACGGGCCGGGCCGGCGGGGAGGCGGGCGCCCCGGCGGGCGCAGGGCGTCCCGAGCGCCTCCCCCCGCGCCCGGCCCCGCCGATCACATGACGCCGAGTTGCAATTTTAGACCGTCAGCTGACCTGAAAATCCCTGGATAAGGGGGGGCCCTGCCGCGCTCGGCCCTTCCTTCAAAAGCCCCTGGCGTGGCGGCGCGGGCTGCCGCAGCACGAGCCCCCCGGGCTGCATCCCGCTCCGCGACGCATCCTGCGCGCGCCATGGCCCCCCTCGGCCTCCCGCTGCTGCTGCTGCTGCTGCTCTGCGCCGCGGCACCCGCGCCCGCGCTCATCAGGTGAGGGGGCATCCGCCTGCGCAGGCGGCCAAGGCCGCGGCGCCGCTGCTGCTGCTGCTCCCTGCGGCGGGGCTGCCCCCCAACGGGCCCCCTCGCCCTAGGAGCCGGGGGAGTGGGGCAGGAGGGGAAGGGAGCAGCCGGGGGCCGCGGCCCTCACCCCACCATGTGCTCGTGCCCCGCAGAATCCCACTGAAGCGGTTCCCCTCCACGCGGCGGGTGCTCACCGAGGTGGGCAGCGGCGTCCCCGACCTCGCCGCCGCCACCCAGTTCCTGCAGCACAAGCTGGGCTTTGCCCAGACTGGGGGGCCCACGCCGGAGATCCTGAAGAACTACATGGACGTGAGTAGTCACCTCCCTCCCAGCCTCCCTCCCTGCCTCCCTGCCTCCCGGCGAAGGGCTCCAAGGCCACAGGCGGAGGCCGCCGATGCGCTCCGCGCTCCCCAGGCCTCCCCGCGTGGTGCTCTGCCCGATAAGACAGTGGCTGCCCCCCACTGCCACAGGCTTGCAGCCAGCCGGGGCAGCATTCCCACACCAGCCCCTTTGGAGCAGCTAGCGGGGCAGCATTCCCGCACCAGCCCCTTGGGATCAGCCACCCGGGACAGCATTCCCGCACCATCCCCTTTGGAGCAGCCATTTGGGGCAGCATTCCCGCACCATCCCCTTTGGAGCAGCCATTTGGGGCAGCATTCCCGCACCATCCCCTTTGGAGCAGCTAGAGGGGCAGCATTCCCGCACCATCCCCTTTGGAGCAGCTAGCGGGGCAGCATTCCCGCACCAGCCCCTTGGGAGCACGGCGGCACGCCGCATGCCACAGAAGGGCGCCGAGTGTTTGCTCAGCGCGTTGCCAACCGCGCGGGGTTGCACCACACTTGTGGCCAGCACCCCTCGCGGTGCCCCCGGGGCAGCTGTGCCTCCCTCCAAGGTGAGGCAGCCCCGTGCTGCTCCACGGGGATTTGACCTTGATGGCAACCGCCGGTGACGAGGTGGGAGCCGGGCTGCTGGCAGCAGGATATTTGTAGGCGGCAGCGGGGCAGCTCCACGGCTCCGTTTTTCTGCCCGGTGAGATGGGTGCTCCCTCGGACGGGCTCTCCCGCCCCGACTCGCCCCCGCGGGGCGGCAGCGGGCCCGGGTCGCCCCCGCCCGCACGGCCCACGTGCCCCGTCTGTTTTCAGCAATAATTAGAGAACCACCGGAAGCAACTGTCCTGTTGCGGTTAATTGCAGCGGATTATTAATTACTCAGCCAGCAGCCCCTAGGAACTGCTAAGCACCTGAGATGGGAGCTCAGCACAGGCAGCTTGGACAACCCTGTTTTTTTCCCCCTCTCCTTTTAATTGAGTACACAGGGATTTTATAAGGGTCAGAGCCTGGCCCTTCTGGTGATTTTCAGCCCGCTCTGGGGGTCCTGGCCCAGCTGGACACTCACTGGCCTTTCCCAGTGCTGGCTGTGGACCCGTGGGGAGGGCCGGGGAAGGCGTTCGCCCCTCAGCATGGAGGGGTCTGTTCCATGGGTGCTGCAGCTCCCTAGCCCTGGCGCTCCCAGGAATGTCGTGCTCTCAGGGCAGGGAGCCGCGTGGCCGCCCAGCTGCTCGCAGGCGGCTTTGCCCAGGGGCCAAGCACCCGGCACAGCCAGCTCCTCCACTCTCCTGCCTCCTCTGCGGCTCCTGGGAAGCCTCTGTGCCAGACCGGTCCCTGCGTGGGGGGACACAGGCATAACCTGCCCGTGTGTGCATCTTCCAGAGCTGAAAGGAGGTTTCCTCCCTCTACTCGCAGCCTCCTTTCCAAAGCCTCCATTTTTCATTATCACTTGGGCTCTTTCTTCCCGCGTTGCCCCTGGGGCGCCGTCGCTCACGGCCCCCCTGCTCCCTCGCCCTTGCAGGCGCAGTACTACGGTGAGATCGGCATTGGCACCCCGCCGCAGAAGTTCACCGTGGTCTTCGACACCGGCTCCTCCAACCTGTGGGTGCCCTCCGTGCACTGTCACCTGCTGGACATCGCCTGCCGTAAGTGCCTGCCGCGGCCTGCGCGCCGCCCCGTTTCTCCCCCAAATTAGAGGCTGACGCTGCTGCTGGCCTGTTGCACAACGCTGGGGAGAAAAAAAAAGAGCGTGGTGCCAGATCTGATACAAACCGCCCTAGTTTCTGTTTTATTGCTGCACCAAGCATGTGTGTGCCTGTTTATGGATTTATAATTAATAAGGAGCAGGTAGACACTTTTTTTTTCTCGGTTGGCGCTGTGCTGCGTGACGTTGTTGTACAGAAACTGTGTGTAGTAGAAGGTGTTGAACCCGGCCGTGGCAAAGTGCCCTCTCTGAGCTGCCGGATGTGCTGCCTAAGCAGAGCAGACAGGAAGGGGGAGACAGTGCAACCGAGAAAGGCGACCGAAAACGCCCCTCAAGGACAGGGAGGAACTATGGACTCGTGTCCTCTTCCATATGGCTTTGCAGTGCCCAGCGGAGCCTGGGGGGAGACACATCTGCTTTGGGATACCTGCAGCGAGATTCGAGGCACGTGCAGGCTGGAGCTTGTGTGGGCCAGGCTGGGTCCATCCTGAGGTCTCTGCTGTCCAGGAGGTGGCTGATTTCTCCAGCCAGTTGGACCTGCTGCGACTGAGGTCCTTCCAGCAGAGTCTTCACAGCCCCCAAGTTGCCAGAGGCTCTTTGGGCTCATTTAGCAGGTGTATGGGGAGCCGAAAATCCTGCCAGCCATGGCCTAGATTACAGGGCCAGCACAGACTCCGTGCAGCATGCGAGACCCTTGCGCTTGTGCTCAGCCAGGGAGCCGGTTCAGCGAGCGGTTGTCCCTCTGGGGCCCTCCTTGTGACTGAGCAGAGCTCTGCGGAGGAGGCATCTGCTGTGCCAGGCCACAAACCCTGGGGCGTGCCATCATTCCTGGCCTTTCCGGGGGAAAAATAGCTTGGGAGTGGGGGAAACCCTTCCCCTTTGCAAATCAAAAACAAAAAAGAGTTTTGCATCATCTATGTGCAAAAGAAAAGATGGCCTTTTTTCCCACTCCGGACACCAGCAGGAAAAGGCTCGTGTCCAGACGGGGCCATGCTGGAAGCCAGCTCAGGTCTCCACAACATGGGGCAGCTGTGGGACCTGTCACTCTAATGGACCCTGACGTAGCGGCCACCTATACTGCGGCCTCTTAACGTGCTGTGGCCAAATCCTGTCGAGCTGCCAAATTGGATCTGGGCGCTTAATTCCGCCCGTGCTGGAAATGCTCTGTAACGCACGCCGGATTTGGCAAAAGCCAGAGAGGGGCCTGTGTTTGCGTGGGTCTGTGAGTGTCTGTCTGTGCCTGTGAGGAGCTGGGAGTGGGACAAGTAGGCTGCCTGAATCTCGTTCAATAGAGATTTCTGCTTGTGGTTTCTAGATAAGAGAGGGCTATTTTGTTGTTGACAGACTGGCAGATAAAAGGCAGGGCAGGTTCCCAGGCGCTAATTTCTCTGCTTGTTCTTTTTCCTTTTACCCGTGGCACCGCACACGAACGCCACGTGTCCCCCCCGCGTCCCCATGCCCGGCCACAGTGCTGCACCACAAGTACGATGCCTCCAAATCCAGCACCTACGTGGAGAACGGAACTGATTTCGCCATCCATTATGGGACTGGGAGCCTCTCTGGGTACCTCAGCCAGGACACCGTGACGGTTAGTAATGGATCTGGGAGGCTACACGGGCCAACTCCAGCTTTCCAAGGTCTCTTTTTGCTCCTTGCCCTCCTGCAGCTCCTGGGGCCCTTTTCAGCTTTGCTTCAGCCCATTTGCTTTGCAGGGTCTTTGCTTCTTTCGCTTAGGAAAAAAACAGCAGACAAGAAGACAAACATGCAAGGCTCTTTATGGCTTGGTTGGGAAAGAGCTCCTCACTGCCAGAGCGGGGCAGCAAGGCCAAGAGGCAGCTTGATTGCCTCGGAAAGGGTGGGTGGGATAGGCACTTTCCAGCTTAATGCAAAGAGGGGAGGGAACTGGGAAAATTGCAGCTTCTACTTTTTTTTTTTTTTTTTTTTTGGTAATTATCACTGCAATGCTTGCTTGCTAATTAGATCTCGGCCACTTCCCAGTGGCTCCAAGGGAAGTTTTTGTGCCTGGGCTTGTCTGGGGGAGTGGGAATGCCTCTTGGCAGCAGCAGAGCTGCTAGCGCTCCGCTCCCATTCGGGCAGAGGCAGGAGAAACCTCTGGTGTGGCTCCCAAGCAGGTTGCAAAGGAGCTGAGGGCGCTGCGGGCTCTTCAGCTGGGATATCTGGAGGTTCCACTGGGCTGCTCCTGCTCCCCTTCCTGTGGGCAAACAAGGACAAAGTCCTCCCAGTGGCTGCATCACAGGCCCCCCACGCAGGAGCTGCCCCGATGTCACCTCCCCGCTGCCTTCAGGGCCTGGGAGCAGCGCCCTTGCCCGCGCCCCCAGGCAGCCTCTGGGCTCCTGGCGTCCTGCTGCGGGCGCTGGCGCAGCGTGAGGCCACCACCACGCAGCCACCACCCGTCATGATCTTGGGGTGCTCTGCAGCTGGGCGAGAGGCAGCCGAGTGAAGGAGATGAGGGAGCTGTAGTCCAACACCCTGCTAACGATGCCCTGCTGTTCCAGGCCCATGGGTACCCTGGTGCCGGAGGCGCCAGCATGGGCAAGGTCACCCCATCCACAGGCTGCTACGTGCCTCCTTCATGGGCTGGAAGTGGAACTGAGGGAGGGACAGGACAACTCACTCCAGCACTCCCTTTTACTGCTGAGATTTTGCCCTGCTGCTTTGGTGAAGGCCACTTTCTAGCGGCCGAGGAGGAGCCCTCTGCACGCACCGTGCCGGGAGGGAGGAGCGGGCGTGCTGCAAAGCGCTGCCTCCAACGGCCGCGCGCCGAGCGGATGCGTTGCTCCGAGCGCGGCTGCCCCACATCCTGCCCTGCGGCTTGCAGCTTTCACAAGGCCCGAGGCCGTTCCCGAGCCCGGTGCCTGGCCGGTCACATGCGCTGCCGTGCACCGAGCCCCGTCCGGCCCCATGGGGATGTTAGTCATTCACAGGGATCGTTATCTGCCGCCAGGTATGAGAGGCCGAGCTTTCCACTGCAGTCCAGTTGGCTGCAGGGCCATTAGCTGGAGCCAGAGAGGCAGAAATCATCCTAGCAGCCGCACTAAAATTGCCCGTGGTGAGCGTGATGCTCTGGAGCCTTGCGAACCGCTAGGGATGGGACCGGCAGACGGGTCCTCACCCAGACAGCCCTCCAGGAGAGCCACCCTGATTGCCACGAGCTGGGGACCTGCCCTTGTGCTCTGCCTGCTGGGAGGCACGTGGGTCCTAGCGCTCGGCAGGGAAGTGACCTTCGCGTTCCCGTTACTGCCATCACTGCTTTTGTGGTGCAGATCTAACCTCACTTTCACAACTCAGTCCTGCCCTCACCAACCCTGAGGTCTCCGTGAGCTGGTAGCCCTTCTGGAAAGGGAGAAACACCCTGGGACAGGGGAGACTGCAGAGCTGCGTGTGGAGGCGAGAAGAAGCAGTGGGTCAGGCTGGTTGTGTATGCAGCACCTGAAGAGACAGGTTGGATATCCAGAGTAGGGAGAAACTGGGAGGAATTTGTTCCAGGATTAAATAAGTAAAACGAGCAGCTCATATAGGAAGAAAAGGATGCACTAGGCAATAACGTGGTAGTGGGGGATGCTGGTGGATGCCTAGGGTGGCCTGTTCCTCCCAGGAAGGTAGCACAAGCATGTCTGGTTTTCATGACTCCGTACAAATATCCAGGCCAAAGCAAGCAGGATTGTGGCTGTGTAAGACATACTATGGCATGCACTCACCAACACCCTGTTTTCCACTCCAGTTTTCTTTATAACTTGTTTCTTCTTTCCCTCCCCTCAGCTGGGTGACTTGAAAATCAAGAATCAGATATTTGGGGAGGCAGTGAAGCAGCCAGGCATCACCTTCATTGCTGCCAAGTTCGATGGCATCCTGGGCATGGCATTTCCAAAGATCTCTGTGGACAAGGTCACCCCTTTCTTCGATAACATCATGCAGCAGAAGCTGATTGAGAAAAACATCTTCTCCTTCTACCTGAACAGGTAGCGTGGGGCTTGGAGGGGAGCAGTTCTATGGCAAGGACAAGCCCAGGCTGGTGTTTGCTTTCCACTCTCATCTAACCAGGATCATCTTCTTTCTGCACTAACCTGCTATCTCAGTCCCCTGGACAGATCCTCAGTTTGAGAAAACGAGTACAGCTCAGTTCTTAGACCCTCACAGCAGATGGCCTTTTGTCACCTGAGGACAGTCTGTTTTTCACGGTACCAGTTACTGGTTTGAAGTAGACAAAGGTGATACAGAAATGCTGGGTAGGTTTTCTACCCCATTGCATAGCTGTTGGAGTGAGGGAAGGTTTTTCCAGTGGAAAGAGAGACAAAATTAAGGAGTGCTGTGATCACAAGATCAGGTAATGAAGTCCTGTTAGTGGCGTAAACACAGCCCCAAATCCATGCATCATGTGGCCCACGCCGTTGTCACCTAGCAGGCGATCCCGTGCCATGCCAGCCATTGCCAGCCATGGGTGATGCTCCCTCACCCACCCAGGGTGCCACTCTGCACCTTCCCACGCTGGTGCTCAGCCCCAGCATCCCGAGCACCCCCGGGCACAGCGAGGAGACGCTGAGCTACTTCTGGCTGAAAAGTAGCACGACCTGGAGGGGGAGAGCAGAGACTCTCGCTTCTGGCAGATAAAAAGCCAGCCCTCCCCCATCACCATATTTCTTCCCATCTGCTCAGCAATGATCTTTTATCTTAGGGTAACCTTGAGGATTGGGCTCTGCGGCTGGCGGCAGGAGCAGAGCCAGGCACAGCTCTTACTTATCCAACGTCTTGTGCCACCATCCGTGTCCTGCCCCTCCTGGATGCTGGTTGTGAGCTGAAGGAAGGGCGGTTATCTGGGCGTCCAGGCATCACTGTTCAGTTCTCAGCCTCCCTTTGCAGCCTCTGCCACTGCAAGGAGTTGGTCCAGATCTCCACACACAAGTCTCAGGTGCATGGAAAAGCTGTAGGAGCTCAGCCTTCCAGTTTCCCCTTTCCTGTCCGAGGTGTCTCCCCTGTCACTAGTACATTTTGTCTGGACCCAGTGCTACCAATGCTGAGCTTCCTCGCACCACCCCACCTGTGTTCCATGCACCAGGAACCCTTAGGGCACGTGGAGGGGCTTATTCTCGCCTTGACGTTAATGAGTTTGCTCTTCTTTCAGGGACCCCACAGCTCAGCCTGGCGGGGAGCTGCTCCTGGGAGGCACTGACCCCAAGTACTACAGCGGCGACTTCAGCTGGGTGAACGTCACGCGCAAAGCCTACTGGCAGGTCCACATGGACGCGTAAGTGCCACCTCGCTGCCCCGCGCGCGCGCGTGCGGCAGCCCTGCCCGTCGTGCCCAGGGCCAAGACGGGGACTCCGCCTATTGCAATGGAGACAGGCCAAACAAGCAGATTGAAATCCCACCGTACGGCTGGGTCATTTGTCCCTGGAAAGAGAGGAGAGGGAGGAAACAGCGGGAGGCTGTTCTGCAAAATCCTTTTCTCTGTTTGCAGCTTGGCCCATGAAAGTGCATGTTGTGCCCTTGCAAAGCAGGGAGAAACCTCAGCCCCTCCTTCCTGCGAGCAGGGCAAACCCCTAGGATTCATCCCCAGCTTTGCCCCTCTCCGCAAGACTGAGGGGGGTGGCTGCTCTCAGGCATCCTCCGGGGCTGCTGGAAGCTCAGGAGGAGCGGAGCGAGGCCCCAGAACCTCAGCCCTTGGCTGAAGGACACAGCACAGCAATCACAGCGCATTGTTGAGGCCGAGGGAAGGAGAATGAGCGTGATTGAGCGGCCCGAGCGGAGGGCTGCTGCTGGCCTGCGAGCCCCGCCGTCTATTCTGGGCGCTCCCACGTGACGGGAACTTAAAAGCAGCCCGTGATCAGAGTGTGCTGCTTTCCTGAGCCCTCCCCAGCACACAGTTTTCCTTCTCATCTTCCCCAAGTCATGCAGTGTTGGCAAAGCGTGCCAAGCTGCTTGGCTCGGAGGCTTTATCTCTCCACACTGCTGTGAAGCAGCAGTGGCAGCTCCCTGCGGCCTGCGTAAGGTACCCAAATCCTCTCCTTATCCGCAGCCTCCAACATGGTCACACTACCCCTTTAACCCTTTGCTTCCCACAGCAGCGCAGGCTGCTGCCTAAGTCGCTGTTTGCTCGCCTGCTCGCTGCTCTTCAGCTGGGTGTGTGACCTCTGCCTGCTGTCCTTCCCCTAGGGTGGACGTCGCCAACGGGCTCACCCTGTGCAAAGGGGGCTGCGAGGCCATCGTGGACACGGGCACCTCGCTCATCACCGGCCCCACGAAGGAGGTGAAGGAGCTGCAGAAGGCCATCGGCGCCAAGCCTCTCATCAAAGGCGAGGTGAGGCACGACTGGCAAAGCTGGGGAAGTGTCTCCAGCCACTGCATGCCTGGAAAAAGAGCCCTGCCAAACTAGCACCCTGTCTCTGAGCTTTGCTGCCTTGCTCCTGCCCTTGGGTGGTGGTAGAAAACTCAGCTCCCCCAGGTCTTTGAGAGACTTTGAGGCTGCAGCGGCGGGTTGCAGTGCCCTGTGTGTCTGTCCGTCCCTGCCATCCGTGCGTTCGGCACTGACCTGCTTCGGGGTGTGGGAGGAGCAAGTTGCCATGGGGAAATTAGAGCCCCTTGAACCGTGAGGGCCTCGGTCCGTGCTGAACGCTCCCGATAATACAGGGCGGAGGGTTGCACCCTCCCCACAGCCCTTCACAGCCCGCTGGGGCACACACGGTCTGATCCCACGGGTCTGGGAGGCTTTGGCTCCCACGCGCTGCCCAGCTCCAGAGGAAGCCGCAGCCAAGGCCGTCACTGTTGCTGTTGTTTCTGTTTCAGTACGTGATCCCCTGCGAAAAGGTGTCCTCCCTGCCTGTGATCACGCTCACACTGGGAGGGAAGCCCTACCAGCTCACCGGGGAGCAGTATGTCTTCAAGGTGGGTCCAGGGCAACTTTCGTCATGAAACAGAGCACGAGGCTGGCGAAAGCAAGGCTGGGGCTGGCACTCGAGGGAGAGCCTGAAGGACTGGGGTGGTAATGTGGTGGCACTGATGCCCTGAGTGATGTGCTTTACTTATGGGGACAAAAAGAAGGTGGGATGGGCAAAAAGGGACAGGCAATTGCATGGCTTTCTACAACTTTATGCCCAACTGTAGGCTTTTTTCTGTTGGGTTCGGGCAGGTGGTAGCTTTTGGCCAGCCCTTGTCATGGCAGAGGCCAACAATCCAGCATTTAAGCCATCAGCTATTGTAAGGGAGAATCAACTTCCATCTGCACCTTCTGCAGGTTTTCAGCAACAGCTCTCCTCTAGAGCAGTGTGGCCTCATGTTTATGTGTGCAGTTTTCTTTGACCTTTTGCTAACAAGACCCATGTGCATACAGATTCTTGGCAGGGGAGATAAGTTTGAATTTATGGTAATGGCGAGGTGAGAGTTACTTATTTTTCACAACTTTTGCAAGCTTTAGGTCACAGGCTGCAAGCCTGAAATGCAGCCAGCATTGGCAGGTGTTATTACAGAGCCATGAGGTAGAGGGGAAATGGGGACCAGCTTTGACTAAACCTCTTGCTCTTCTCTCTAGGTTTCTGCCCAGGGGGAGACCATCTGCCTGAGTGGATTTTCAGGCCTGGATGTCCCACCCCCCGGGGGCCCCCTCTGGATCCTGGGTGATGTCTTCATCGGTCCCTACTACACCGTTTTTGACCGTGATAACGACTCTGTTGGCTTTGCCAAATGCGTCTAAGCGCCTGACCCACACTGCCTCTGCCACACACACACTTACACACACACACGGGAGCTGTAGAGAATGATTCCCAGGATTAGAAACCCAGGGGGATGAGGAAAAAAAATAGAAATGGAGCTAGATATAAATTTACACGGAAAATAATCATTATTAGTGCTCTGCTAGCTACTTTTTCCCCTCTGTTGAGTATGTGGTGCTGGGACAGCTCTAGTTGACAACTCCAGCTAGAGTAGCTCCTTGCTTTACTCTTAGATCTTCCAGTATTTGTTTTTAATATTGATTCTCCAAGCTGAGCAATGCCCTCCCATGTCTCCCAGCACTGGTCTCGTTACTGGAGAGGCAGCTTGCCGGAGCTGTCTGGCAATGCCAGCATTCCTGCAGAGAAGCTGTGCGGGTGCTCTTGGGTTTGGGCTTCTGCGCTGGGGGAGAGGGAAGGCAAAAACTACCCTACATGTTCTTTATTTCTTCCTCTTTTTCACCAATGAAGTGGGGGAGTGGGGGGTGCATAGAGTTGGTCTTGATCACTCCTGTGATACTGCTGAGGCAGCAATTGCTGGATCACTTCTCAGTGAACTTGTGCTAGCTTAATCCTGAAAGCGTGCTTCCTGGGCTGGAGCTGAGGGGGAACTTTCAGCGGGCACAAGGGACGTTTTAAAGTCTAAAAGCTCTGGCTGTGTGTTTTTGTGTTGTGACAACACGAGGGAGAGGTGAGGTGTGATCGAGCCATGCCTGGTCTGAGGCTCTCACAGACCTATCGGGGCAGGGATTTGTTGGGGGGCTCCTACCAGTAGGAGTCTTCATGGAGTAAGAATTCAATGGGGGTAAGGCTAGGGTTTAATAGAAGTTGTTTGAATTCATGTTCTCAAAGGCCCAGCTTTAAGTTTAGGGCTGAGCAAACCAGTTTGAGCAAAGAGTTGATATAAATGCTCTTGAGTTGAGCAAACTTCTCCCAGTTTTTCCAAACCTCAGAACTTTGTAATCTCATCTGGAGCTAGTGAGTTGCACATAATGTTTCCCAAAGCAGCTAAGTAGCCTACAAGCCTAAATCACATTGATTAGATGTGATTTGTGATCAATGCTATCTAGTTGTTTGTAAGTCACATAAGAGCTTTTGGAAACGTTATTCATAGTGTTCTGAATTGCTCAGAATTCAAGAGACAGTTGGCAGAAGCGAGTCAGCAAGTCTTCCAGGCAGGAGGGTACCATGGAGGCTTCTGAATTTTCATTCGCTCTTTTTATCACTTCCCAGTCCTGAAACCTAACTCACCTTCAGTACCCTCCATACATTGTGCTATAGTTTCTGTATTAACATTATTGAGAACTATGTTCGTTTGCATTGTTTGTTATAGAATAAGTGAGGCACATTCCCTGCTTTGGTCACTTTGTAGCTGAAGGATTTAGCTGTGCATATAGGTCTGCATTTTGCTCCTGGAGAGCCAAGACCTGTGTATATGGAGCCATCCACTTCCCTGGGCTGGAATCAGTAGACATACACTGCAGGAGCAAGGAGACAACAGCAGCTGAAAGGGGATAAAGTGAATTTTAAGCAACACTGCAAAGCAGAAGAGAGGGTTTTTCAAGGGTCTGAGGACAGCAAGCAGATAGTCTGCAAATGTCCCCTTTCCCCATCCTGTGCAGCTCATCAGTTTGACATTATTGCCATTACTCCTCCCTTGGAGGGGTCTGGCTTGGCCAGCAGGGATGGGCCTGAGCACACATCTGCTCTGTGCTTCCCCAGCATGATAAATCAGCTGCCTCTTCATAGTCCTCACCTGCAACCTTGTATGTGGAAGCCTAGAGGCATCTGTTGCAGACTGGGGATCTGGCTAGAGAACAGTAGCACGTTATATATATAAAAAAAAAATCAAACACAGATGCTCAGCACTCTCCAGAGAACCCAGTTTCCAAATTGATTAAATGCCCAGAGCTCTTCAAAGTTCTGCTAAATTCTCCCACAGCTGCAGAGTTTATCCAAAGCAGTGACTGAGACAGAGACAGTTTCTCAGGTACCCGTTAATCTGACTTGATGTGGGGGGATGGCCTGGCGTGGAGTAGACTGCGGGTTTTTCATCTGATTTAGCCCCTGGCAGGATGTACAGTGTAGCCTAAAAACAAGCCATCCTACAGCAATTCTGTGGAATGTACAATGCCTTACGCTGTACATGTTGTAGCCTCTTTGCAGTAACCTAATGCTGGGCTGGTTGCTGTCCCCAGGCAGGCAGGACACTTCTGTCTGAGGAAAGACTATGGCCCCAAATGATGCCCTAAATGACATATCTTAGCATAGGCTGGAGGAGCAGTTTATTTGATTTAACCACATTTGCGACCTCACCGAATTGGTCTCCTCCCCCTGTTGTTTTATCTGCATTTTTAAACCAAACTCTAACTGCGTGATTTTTTTTTAAATCTAATTTGCTGTCAGAATTACTGTCTCATTATAGAAAATTGAAAAGAAAATACAGTATTTTCCCTCTTATTCTGAGAGTTGTCTTTTTTTTTGCAAGCACTTTGTAATTGCCCAAGTCCTCCTCTGTGTTAATGGCCCCGTGCCCCAGAGCAGTTGGGTTTGCAGTGAGCAGTCGCTCACTCAAGTGCAATTGTGCACTTTTTGGAGGGGATCCTTCGGTGCTCACTGATAAGCAAGCATTCTGGGAGGCTGTCAGCCTTGTCTTTTTGCATTGATTAGCACATAGCCCCACATCTGCAAGACAACGTGACAGCTTCCCCTGGCTGAGCCAATGCAACCTGGCCGGTAGGTGCTCTGAACAGCTCTGCTAGTGAAAGCCTTTTCTTGGGGCCATATCTCTCTGGCCCCGTGCCATGCAGATAGTCCTCTAATGGCATAATTGTGGTGTCTCCTGGCCATGTGGACCAGTTAGAACAGGTTTGCAGTGGACTTGGGACATGCAGCCTGATGATGCAGAGCACAATTGCTTTGCAAAATGTATGAGAAACTCATCCTTATTGCTTGACTGACTCATTTTTAGTCCCAGAGCTACTGTATGGAAGCTAGAGACTCTAGGGCAGGGCAAAGGCCTTCTGGGCTAGGTGCTGTACAAACACATGGTAAGAGCTAATCCCTACTTGGAAAAAAATATCATCTACATAAGCAAGTCAAGCAGAGCAAAATCCCATCCCATTTTCTAAGTGCGGACCCAAACACTCAGAGTATTCAACAAGTTCTCCACTGTTCCAAGTCTCTATTCCCCCAGGATGTCCTAACACCACAGTCACCCGTTCTCCCAAGGTAAAAGGAACAAGGAATAGAAACAGCTGGAGCCTTGGTAGAAGAGCCAGACTCTTCCGTCCCCCTTTCCAGAGTCCTGTATGTTGGGGAATGGACCTGATGAGCCTGCACTTGGCCCCTCGTTATCTTGCTCAGCCCTTGCCCCAGGAAATGTTTGGTGTGACACGATGACCCCTTTCCCTCCCGGGTCTCCCACCACTCCCATTTGCTGCATTGTCTCTGCAGAGCTCCCTCCACTTGTCAATTTGATAACTTAGCCCTTATTAACTTTCTCCACTAATGCACAGAAGATAAACACTTTCATTACGACTCCCTCTGAGCAGTAGGGTGTCTGGCACAGGTCCCCAAGGCTGTCTTCAGGGGTCTGATCCTTCCCCCAACTGCCTCCACTCCACCTCATCCCTGCTTTGCCAAAAGCCTGTTCAGACAGGGACCTACCCACACCAGGGCTCCTACACCAGCACACGAGCAAAGGGAGGATTAGCCCCCTTGTTCATGGAGATAACATGCATCTGGTTGGTGCAGCAATTTGTTGCTTTTGGAAACTATTTTTACTAAGCGAGGATGACTAAGCACTTTGTTTGGGGGCTGATGGCTTTTTCTGCTCTTTTTTTGATCTATTTATTTTTAGTTTCTTTGGGCGGGAAAAGAAGTGGAGTGCATACTAAAAGCTAGAGAGGGAAATCAGGGAAGAGTGGAAGTTTCAGCCCACTTTCTGCTAGCAGTTTAGCCATCCACTCCTGAATTTCACAGGGAGGGGAAAGAGCAAAGCTCATTGAGGTGCTTGTAGGTTTTCTCCATAACAAAAGGTAGGGGCAGGTTGCTGTGATATTTTTCCAGAGAAGGAAGGCAGGATTTGAGATGGGAGACTTTCTCACGGGTCTTACAGGACTTGGTTATGTCACAGCTCGCACATCTCTAACAAGATTACAAGAGAACTGCTCTGGGGCAGGAAGTATCTTCCTGTTGTGTTTGTCCCTTAGCACAATGCGATGTGGGCCTTGATGTCACAGTAATGCAGACAATTATTTATATCCATCGCCGCTTTTCCTTGAAAAGGAAGTATTCCTCCTGCTCCTGGATGTGGGCTTGGACATGTGATTGGTAAAAAAAAAACAAGAGGAGCATTAAAATAATGCAGAATGCTCTTTTGTTTTGTTCTTAGTGTAATTATTAGCCAAGCCAATTCACTCATTCTGAAGGGTCATGTGAAGGCTTTTTGAACTGATGATCCTGCATATAAGCCACTGTGCTTCAAGATAATAAAGCTTTTATAGATTATACTTAGGATTTAGAAAGATGATGAATAAAGCCATAAAAAAAAAAAAAAAAAACCAATAAAACCATAAAAAAGACTCCAAAGTGCACTGGAAACTCTAGGGCTGATCACTCGATCACCCACACAACAAAAAGAAACAGCCATCCAAGTTCACTGACCTTTCAGTCCTACTTAGGCCAGGAAAGGCACTTGCCTCTGGGACACAACCTCAGACCGGCTTTCCTCCTCCACAGCGAGGACCATCCAGTGCCCACAGGGCGCCCGGAGAGGCTTCCCAGTCACAGCAGAAAGGGCCGCAGGATCTGAGAGATGTTTCTCCATCACCTGCTGGGGCTGCTTGAGAGCTGGAACAGAAGGCCAGGAGATGAGGGGAGCATGAGGGGAGCGCAGACGTGCTCTGATGTTTCCAGCAGGGAGGCAAGGTCCACCTCCACCTTCACTCTTCTTTTTCTTTATTCCTCTTGCTCCATCCATTTTGTTTCTCTGCCTTCGATTTTATTTCCAGATTTTTCATTTTTGTGCCCTCCTCAAGGCACCTTTTCAAACCTTTCATTTAACTAATCTTCTTGCTCTCTCTTCCATGAGTGAAGAGATACAGGACCTTCTCCACATTCTTGGGGTTTTTTTCCCCCCAGCATGATATTACTCTCAGTTTCCTCTCTGTCTCTGTTCCAGTCTCTCCACACCATTTTATTCCCCATCCCACTTCTCTAACCTCAGCTTCCTCAGCAAAGTCCTGATGGTCTCACAACCCGCTACATCTCCCTCCTTTCTACTCTTCCCTCCTCCCAATCTCCTTTTGACTTTGCTGTTTTTCTGTCCTCACTTGCTGTTCCTGTTTGAGATAGGAAGTAGAGCAGTTCTACATCCACATGCAAGAGCTTACAAGCTTACACAAGACAAATAAATGACACACTGATGTTTGGTTCATGCCAGCCTGTTATTTGAATCTATCACCAGAAAGAAGCAAGAACCAGATGGGGCCATGCCCATATGCTAGTAGCTTCTTCCCAAACACCACCAGTACCACATGCCTCAAGGGAATGACATGAAGGGAATCCAAGAATAGCAGGATATCCTGTTGGCTCTCAGCAGGCCACAGGAAGCCTCAGCCCTTCATTTCATCCCTCTTATCAATGCTGATGCTCCTACACGCTAAAGTCACGTGGCTTTGGTTCCTGTGAAGCCAGCAAAGCCTTCTCTGGGCGACATTACACTAAATACATGTGCATCCGCCTTTTCTATTTTCACTTCATTGTTTAACTTATTTTCCAGTTCATTAGTGACCATTAAAGGTCTTTGCAGGGACTTCATGGTTTCTCACTGACAATTTTTCACTGTGTTGAAGAAGGATTTTTTATTCTAGGGCTCTGAGCAAGTTGGCCAATATCTGGGACCTTGCAATACATTGCCTTTAGGAAGAGAATTAATAGCACAGTAAGAAATTCAGTGCAATCTCACATATATAGCAAGTACAGACACATCCCTTTTCTCTGAGGACAGTGGGAGCAAATAGCTTGATAAGGAACAAAACAACTGTCTGATTCCTGCTTCTCAACCAGCCCCTCCAAGCACAGTGTCCTGGAGATCTTTGCGGCTCTGCTGTCCCCAGGGCACAGTCACAGCTGCTTGTCTGCATGTTGGCTTCTGCCTTCAACACATGCAGCTTCTTCATCATCATGTTTGTGATCTCTGAGCCCCCTCAACCAAAGGGCCTCCCTGGGATCAAGCCTTGTCCTGAGCAGAAGCTCCTGTGGATAACAGCAGCCTCCCTACATAAAAGGGGTTTCACTGCTCCTCATGAGCCTGGAAGAAGCCCTTCTGCACAGCCATGGGTTCCCCAGGTTTAGCAAAGCCCTCCAGAAAAGCTGACGATAACTGGCCATGGTTTCCAGCTCAGCAGTTCAACATACTGTTTTCTGCCTCTGCCGAAAGCAACTTAATCCCTGTTGATCATCACTCTCATCCCATAGTTATCTATGTTCTTTAACAGCTTCTTGGAGAGAGATCTCAGTCTTGTCAGGGACAAACGTAGCACTTGCAAAACCTTCTCTATCTGGGCATCCCTCTGGCAATGCGAAATCCCTAAGCAGAAACATATTCCCTTTTTTAACCATCATGGATTCCCCAAAGGTACTAAAAGAGCACGGTGCAAACACGACACTGTCCAGACGCCTGAGAGCATGGGCAGCCCCCTCACCATGTATTTATTGACTTGTGAGAACAAACTCTGGGCACCATCATCCTGGAGCCCAATCCGTTTGCACACAGCCAAGTAAACTGCAATAATTATTTCTTAACTCAGCACCTTGTTGGTAGGCTGAATGCAATTATACAGCATCTTCCTTCCCCTGCAGGTACTGTTCTCATCAACTTTTAATTTATCTAACATATTTACGAATCTTATCAGGCCATGTGCAGTCCCTGCTCTGCAATGGCTTCTCCTGCAACGATGAGCTTGATCTTCTCCTCCTCCACCACCAGCCACCGTCTCCAGTCCACCTGCAACACACGGGGCTCTGCCACGGCAAGGTGACACGGCGCGTCCTCACGTCCCCAGCGCTGCAGCTGCAGGCTCCCGAACAACCTGAGAGCCCTCCCTGCGCGACGCTGGCTCCACACCGGCGTCGCATCCCCGGGATGTGAAGTTACACGCGGTTTCTGCACAGCTCCCAGTTCAGCTGGCAACTGGAGGCAGAAGCCATTTTGTTGATCCCGTGCCAAAGCCAGGCATGGATGGGAAGTCAAAGCTAGATCTCCCAGGGCTTCTCCATCCTTGATGCCATCCCCACCTCCCTCTGCTCGGGCTCCTGAAAGCCCCACTGCCTGGTTGCTCCTAGTCCCTGCGAACTCGTGGCTCTGGCCAGATCCCGCCTTGCGCTGGGATTTATCTGCTTTCTATCCATTCCCCGTGAGCGGAGCAGAAACACCACTTTTCTGCCCACGGCGCTGCACTCAGCGCGATCCCACCGTGCCGTCCTCGCCGTCCTCACGCCACCCTTCGAGCCGTGCTTTGGGTCCTCCTCCAGGCCGCCCCGGCTGAGCGAGACTCAACGGCGCCCACCGTGCAGGGGGTTAGAGCGCGGGACTGAGGCTCCCCCGCGGCCAGCGTGGAAACCTGCTCGGACGATGCCCCGCGGCACCAGGAGCGTGCCCAGGAGGAGGGCTGCTCCAGAGGGCTGCCCCCAGCGCGGCTGAAGAAGGAGGGCTTGTCCCCATGCCGGGGAGAGGCAGGTGGGCATCAGGACAAGGGCACCGGGGCTCAGACGTGCGGCAGCTCTGCCACACAGAGAGGCAAAGAGCGGGTTTGGGGGGGCTGCGGGCTGGCTGGCCAGCCCCCGAACCGCCGTCCTTGGCACCTCGGTCCTGTCCACACACCCCCGCCCCCGCCCTCCCCTCCTCCATCAACTCCAACGTTAAGAAAGCGGAGCCGGAGGCAGTGCTGAGCCGGATATGCAGCGGCTCCCCGCATCCCTCCTTGTGAGTGTCGCGCTCTGCTCTCCTAATGCCTGCTGAGGAGACGGATGGACGAACGGACAGGCAGCATGAGGTGGACTCGTCTCTCCTAACCGCCCGGGGAAAGGGAGGGAGGAGAGGGAGGCAGCCTCTTACCACACACCCCCATCCTCCATCCTCATCCCCTCCCCACGTCCCCTGTCCTCTTCCTCCTCCACTCGGGCCACGATAATCTCCGAAACGGGGGAAAAAGAAAAAGCGACTGGCAGGCAAGAGGAATCGGGAACGCAGTTGCATCAGGAATATCACAGAGATGACTGAGGACTCAGCAAAAAAAGAAAAAAAAAAAGAGGAGAGAGCGATCGAGAGGATCTGGGCTGCTCTGCTGCACCAGGAGATGAGCTCCGCTCCGCCGTACCAATCAACAGCACAACAGCAGCCCCCGGCAACCCGCTTCGATCCCGGGATGGGACAGAAAGCAGGAGGCCCTGCAGGACAGATGGACGGGCAGGCGGAGAGGGCTGCGGGCGGAGGGGGAGGGCGGCACGACTGCTCGGGAACTCTCTTTGCAGACCCCACAGTCCTCCCCAAGTGTTTCTTTGTGCTTTTCTTTTTTTCTTTTTATTTTTATCCCCCTTCTTAATTCCTCCCCCCTCCTCACCCCTTTTCCCCTCTGGCGAGGCGCGAGCACAGACTCCTTCCTCCATGCTGGTGCGGCTGTGCGCGCAATGCCAAGGCAGGGAGCAGCCCCAGAGGTTACTGCCGGGCTGCGGGCACGCAAGGCTCGGAGCGCAGGGCTCGGAGCGCAGGGCTTGGGCTGCGGGCGCGCAGGGCTCGGAGCGCAGGGCTCGGGCACGGGCAGCGCGGGCAGCGCGCGAGCGGGCACAGCAGGGCCGGCAGAGCGAGCCGCGACGCTAGGGGCTCCGGGCGCCGGCAGGGCTGCTTGCTGGGCCAGCATGTAACGCTGCTCTCTCCCCCTGCCCTGCTCTCCTCCCTCCTTCCTCTGCCCACCGCCTCACTCTGCTGCCCACGCTCTCCTCCACCTCCCCGACCCTCTCTCTCCCCTTCCCTTTCCACCCCTCCTTGCTTTTCCTCCCGCCCTCCTCCTCCCCATCCCCGTTTTCCACAGGGGCTTCTACTTTGCCGGCGCGGCGCCCGGTGAGCCCGCGGCCGGCGCCACGGAGCGGGCGCAGGAGCCGCCGCCGGGCCCGCCGTGCCCGCTGGCGGCGGCGGCCTGGGCGCCCCGCGCGGCGCGCGGCCCCCCGCAGGGCTGCTTCGCCTGCATCGCCAAGCCGCCCGCCCTGCGGCCCCCTTCGCCCGCGCTGGCGCCCGCCGCCGCCGCCGGATACCTCATGGAGAGCAGCAGCTGCAAGGGGGACAGCCTGCGGCCGCCCGTGCCCTGCAAGCACCTGGTAGAGAAGAAGACGATGACCAACCCCACCACGGTGATCGAGATCTACCCAGACACCACCGAGGTGAACGATTACTATCTGTGGTCCATCTTCAACTTTGTCTACCTCAACTTCTGCTGCCTTGGCTTCATCGCTTTGGCCTACTCGCTGAAAGTAAGTCCTGGCTGCGCGGCACGGCACGGGGCGAGTGTTTCGGGGTTGTCGGTGTGAAGCGGCTCTCTGCCGCCGTAGCGAGTGGAAAAGCACCAGTCTGCAGCCACGGGGGAGAGCGTTTGGGAGAGTCGAGGAGTGTTTCGGAGCTGGGAATGTTGCTGGGTGTAGGAAGGACGTACCTGGACTTGTTCTGCTGTCCTCGAGGGCTGCTGGGTGCCACCATGATGGGGTGCACAGGCAGCATGGGTTGGGCTCTGCTCATGCCATGCGTGGAGGCACTAGTGCCCTGTCCCTTCCTCGGGGACAGGGAGATCCTATAGGTTTGGGGCCGGCAGCATTGTATTTGCAGCCAAGAGGAACAAGAAGCAGCTGGACAGAGTCCCCAGCACCTGGCAAGTTGCAGGGGGAAGAGGCTGCGAAGGCACGGCACTCCTCACGATTTGCTGCTTGCCCTTTCTCTTATGAAAGCATCAGAGGAGTTTGTGGGCAGCCCTCCCCTGAGCCCCGTAAATCACCAGGAAAGTCCTTGGGACCTGCCAGCACGGTGGGAACAAGCCCGGTAGCCAAGGAGGTGGAACACAGTGCAGAGGGCTGTGCACCTCATCGTGCCTCAGGAAGGAAAGTAGATGTGTCGAGGGGGCCAGTGCGGATACAGCCCACAGAGGGAATGAGCCTCAGGGAGAGCAGGGCTGCACAGGACGCTTGTTGCAGCGCACAGCAACTGCTTACCCTGGAAACGAGGACGGGGTCTAATTCCCTGCAGTCAGCACTGCGGCGTGCGGCTCCGCTTGCTTGGCCCTTCCTGGGGGTAACCCTATCTCCGGAGTCACGGAGCGGCTGTGCCAAGTGGCGCCGCCGCTGCTCCCTGCAGCTGCAGGGGCAGAGCGGCCTGCCAGGCCTGCAGGATTTGGCTGCTGGAGCACTTGGCCAACACGCGGGTCCCCAGCATCTGTCGGGAAAGCGGCTTCCCCAGCCTTCTTTTCCGCGTAAAAATTAACTAAACAGATACGTAACAAGTCGCAGGGCTCCTGGGTGGCCCCAGTTGTGCCAGGGAGGCCGAGGGACACCGATCCCGCTGATCTGCTGTGGCAGGCGATGCTCAGAGCAAGGCCGCCGCACGGCCACCCTTCATCACACAAACAGATCAATTAACCTCGTCCAACTCGCAGCGCTGCCAGTGCCCGAGCGCTGCGAGGAGCGGCCTCTGAGCCCTGAACCCCCCAGCAGGGGCTGGGGCAGGAAAGCAGAGGGCCAGGCACCCGCGCCAGCCAGCAGGCTCTCCCAGCCCCACGCTGGGTGACACGCCGCAGGACCATGTGCCTTGGTTTCCCCTTCTGCGAGACAGGAGCTGGACGCTCAGCTGCCATCCATGCAGCTCAGCCCAGGGCTGTCTGGAAGAGGCACCAAATACCTTAAATCCTGCTGGTGCTCAGCACAAGCAGGCTGAGCCAAGGGCAAAGCCAGCAAGCAGCAGCTGAACTGTGCGAGAGGGAGGATTCCCTCCACATCCCCAGTTCTTTGGGGTAGGTACATTGGAGAAGAGGGAATCCTGAGTCTTTTTCACATCTCTGCTAGTTTGACTTTGCCTTAACAACCCGAGCCTTTCTGAGGCAGTCACAGCCATGGTGGGATGAGGAAAGATCTCATGTCATTGGAACGTGAGAGATATTTCTGTAGAAGTGGATCCTTGACTGCAGCTGGTGGCATGGGCAGGACAGCCTAAGAATTAGATTAACCCATCATAAGGGGACAGGACAAACAGGGCTGATTTCCTAGAAGTCTTCTAAAGGCTTCGTCCTTTGCTGTCTTTGATGTGAGGAGGAGGACAAGGCAGTGAGCACCCCTTCAACACTTAAGGAAGCCAGGAGCTGAGCCTTATCATAGGGGCAGATGCATGGGCTCAGTTTGCAAATGTCTAAAGTGCATAAACTCCAGTGTGGAAAAAAAAAAAAAAAAAAAAAAAGAACTGGCAGACAGGGAATTTACCAGGGCAGACTAGCTTGGAATGAGGGAAGGGAGAAGAGAAGACGGCTGTCAAAAGGCAGCATTGCGATTTGGGTGGCAGGAGCAGTAATTGATGGGCTGCGGTGGTGGCCCACGTGCAGCGCAGAGGCTGGCGGAGCCGAGCTGAACCAAGCGGTGCTGGAGCGATGGCAGCAGCCGTGCTCTGCTCTCGGGGCTCCATAGCACAGGGAGAAGCACAAACAAAATGTCCCTCAGAGCCGCCAGGCAGGGCTGGCAAGCGGCAGGAGGGACAGGGAGTGCCAGAGACAGCCCTCAGGCTGCTGGAAGCAAACGGGGCTGCTGTGGGGGAAGCAGGTTTGCTCTGGGAAAGGCTTGTGGGACGTTGGGAAGGTCAGGAGCTTCCCTTACAGCTGCAGCGGAGACTTCTACACTAGCCCAGGCAGAGTGCTCCGGTGCACGTGCCTGTGGAAGCCACCATCAGATGTCAGGGAGGGTCTTTCCTACCCAGCACTAGCGTTGTGGTCCCTTCTACAGTCAGAAAGGTTTTCCCAGACGCTGAAAGAGAGCAGAAGTAAAGAATGCATCGGGGATATGTGTCCCTTTAAAATGACTTTCCTTGTTTCCCTGCAATTGCTTTTAAGGATAATCCAGCGGCAGATATTTACGTTCCAGCCCTGCTAGGGACCCTGTGCTCTGCAGAGCCCAAGGAAGGTCTGGTGGGGAGGGACAGGAGAGCAGCAGCACTTAACCCCGCAGGGCTCATTCTAGGACCCGGCAGGGAGGTTTGTCCTTTGGAGGCAGAGCTCTTGGCTGGAGCAGCAGATTTCCCAGCTGAATCATAATCAATGCACTGATAGCACGAGGTCCCCAGATTACGGTTATTGCATTTCCTTTAAACAACTTAAACATTTAGAAGCCACAAGAATTATTGTTTTCATTATCAGACACCACAGAAAAACAGCACCTGCTATTGCCAAATTCATTCTGTTAATAAAGCAGTAGATAAATCATGCCCTAAGTCAGTGAGGTGCTTCATTATGCACCTCAGCACACCCTAATATCCCCACCAACTTCAACAGCATAACACACACTGAAATTCAGATGTGTCCTTAGCTACTGTGCCGAACCAAGACTTCTGAGTCCACTGTGATATTACATTAAAAAAGCCTCATTCTCCATGCCCACTTTCCTTGGTTTCAGCCATAGCTGTGAAAATAGTTAGCTCTGTGCTTGCTTGTCCACTTGTCCTGAGACGGCAGTGAGCTGCAGATTCCTAGTTTTTGCACGGAAATGCATGAGTTGCTGTTCCACAGTGATCACGATTTACAGAAATGTGCTAAAGAAATATGATAGCACCAGCACTGAAAAATTTGGGCTGTTATTCAAGGAAACATATGAAGTCAAGCGAGTGCAAAGCTTATGACCCCAAGGCAAGCAGAGGCCAAGCCGCCAGCTGCTCCGAGCGGTGACATGAGGGCTCACCTGGCAGTCCCTCGCACCCACAGCGGCCAATTCCTCAGCCTTCCGGCCTGCAACGGAGTTGCACCAGCTCCCGGATCCCTCCGGGGGTTATTTGCAGCCTCCCGGGCTTCTCAAGGTCAGCCCTACAGAGCGCAAGCAAAGTGCTTGCACGTAACTGCAAGTGCAGAGACAAGCAGCAGCACTAGGGAAGGCAGAAATCCTACACTGGCATTCATACAAACTGGATACAAATAGTAGGATTGCTCCAACAGACAGGTTTGGGGGAGGTTTTGATCCGAGCTGAATTTTGTGGCTTTGTGTTCTCGCGCTCACTTCCCTGCCTCTTTCCCCCTTCTAAGCAGTCATGAATGATGCATCGGCGCTTGGTGTAGGAGATCTTGCCTCAGTCATTAGCAGGTCTGTCTCGGGGGAGCACTGGGGAAAGCCAAATCTTTCTCGGCACCAATTACGCTGTGAGGCAGTAGATCAGAGGAGCTGGGATCTGAGGCAAGTCATACTGTGGAAGCCTAATTTTGAATGTATAGAGATCAAGGCGGCAAGGAGCCCCACTGCCTTTTCAAGCCCAACCAGCAAGCAGAACTCACCCTTCCCTGCCGCATTCGCACCCGTCCCCCCTTTTCCTGGTGCATCACAGGAAGCTGGAAGGAGCTGCGTGGCTGCAGAGAGAGCTCGGACACACGACAGCACTTTTTTCCTTGCTTTATTAGAGCAGTTTTGGTGGCCCCTCAAAGCAGAGGGGAAGGGGGAAGCAGGATGGCTAGCAGGAGCCTGGCAGGTCTCCAGAAACCCGAGTCCTTGCTCAGTGAGCAGTCGCTATCGCATAGCTTTGGGCACTTGTGCTTGGCTTCCTCGCTCGCCGCTTGTTGAGCCTCTCTCGCGAGCGGGAACAGCCTGGCACAAATATGTAAGTGGCTTTTAAGACACAGGAGCAGGGAGGCAGTGCTACTTTGGGGGAAGAGGCAGCTGTTTACAGAGGTAAGTGAAACCAAGGGGCAAAAGCTGCTTCCCAGCTGCATGACACAGTCCAAGCACCAGGCACGAAGAAGTCAGACGGGCTAGAGAGCCCTAACTGATTTCTGCAGCAAATAAACCCAAGGATCCCTCCAGAGGCAAAAGCTCCTTACGGAGAGGGAAGCAAAGCACTGTGTGGAAATGGGTTTATAGCTGCACCAGCCTCTTCCCAAAGCAGCCATCGAACCAGCTGTGGGCTGAATACTAAAAGCCAGGCTGCCTTAAATACAGCCTCATTAGACTCGTTATCAACAAACCATTTGTCTCCTTGGGGAAGCTGACACAGCACTTGGTACCCACGCAGCCCTGCTCCTCAAACCAGAGGGGCCAAGGCCAGAAAGCAGAGACAGGAGAGGCTGCTGCAGAGGCAGCCAAGGGAGGAGAGGCCTTGGGAAGAGGCCGAGGAGCTCGCGGGGAAAAGGAAGGAGACTTTCAGGTGGTGGATAAATGCAGGTATGCAGTGGGACTGAAAGGCAGACAAATAGGTGAAGTAGAGAGAAACACCCCACTGGAAGAGCCACAGGGAGCAGCGAGTGGGGAAGTGATCAGCACTACCTTGGAGCGAGGAAAGGTAGAGGTCTCTGGCCTAAATCCTAACATATTTTTTAGGTAAGGTGAGGAGTGAAGCAAGAGTGAAAAAAGACAGTATGTGTGTAAGGAAACACCAGGTCCGAATTCAGGGATTTTCCCCTTTTTTTCCAGCCTTGTGACCTTTCCCGCGTGGCTCAGCTCCTCAGCACACGGGCAGGCCGCCCCAGGTCTCCCCAGGGCCCTGCAGGGACTGGCTCCTGTCTGCCAGGTGCCAGCACATTACAGCTGCCGGTGGCCACGGAAGCACGAAGAGAGAAGTGATGAGGCTGGGATATGAGGAAGACGGGCATCTCCTTAGGAAGGACAGAGCAGGGAAGGAGCAGGAACGTGTCTCAGCTGCCTAGGAGAGCTCCTCCTACAGACACTGAATTTGATGTTGCAGCAGGACGCTAAAGGGAGATACCTGAGAGTGCGCTGGGGAGGCAAGCCCAGGCCAGAGGCTGAGCTGGAGACAAGTAGGAGATGGAGACTGCGAGTGATTTGAAAGAAGAAACGTCTTCTCATTATGCTTGTGTATAGCAGGAGCCCTGCTTCTTGTTGGGAGAGCGCAGGCTTGGCTGCAGTGCAGCTGCTTATGGCCATAGCTGTGGATTTGTGTAAGATGCCGGCTGGAGCCACAGTGGGTCTGGGAACACCATGAGGGAGGAAATGAAGGGGCCAAGGGCAGCACAGGGAGGCACTCGGCCAGGCAGGGGCAGCGTGGAGGGGCCCCACGGCCCAGGCCAAGCAGTCAGGGCAGACTCGTGGGGATGAGCCAAGGGGAAGAGGAGGGTCAGCCCAGAGCTGGAGGAAACCAAAGGCAAAGCTCGCCCTACGTCTGCCCAAAGGTGATGGGCCACGGCACGTCCTCAGCCACAAGGTCCCCACAGAGCTCCGCGTGCCACGGGGGGCTGTGGGAGCAGCAGGATGGGGCTGTCCAGAGAGGCAGGAGAAGGAGCAGTTGGGTCCTTCTTGGCAGAGGGGAAGGAGTCCAAGGAGGCTGGTTAAACAGGAGGAGAAAAAAAAAAAAAAAAAAAAAAAAAAACAGAGGGCGTGAGGTTGGAGACCAAGATCAGCTGGCAGAACAAGGACCCATCAGAGCTAAGGGTTAAGAAGAGCCCAGGGGTGAGGTGGAGGAATGAGGAAGATGGGAGAAGGGACCCCCTGCTCGGCGTTACTATCTGGGCACAAACAGAAGTTTGTGAGAAGCTGTGAAGCGGAGAAGGCAAGAGTGGCAGAGAGGCCGTGAGGAGGGTGCTCAAGGCAGCAACCTTTGGAGAGAAAGGATGCCTAAAAACTGAGCTGGGAGGGAAGGCAGAGCTGGGAAGACATCAGCCTCCCAGGACTGTCTCTCAAATGCTCAACAATACAAGAACTGGAGCTGGGGCAGAGACTAAAGAAAAGGGAGAGGGCTCCATTTCTCTCTTTCCTCCTTGCTGGGTAAGGAGGTGCCAGCTGCCCAGCACCCATGTGCTCAGGGTTCCCAGGAGGACACTAAATCTGAAGAATGATTTCAGAGGTGAGACCCAAAGCTGGCGCAGAAGGGCACGTGGGTGCCCAGGCTCCAGCCTTGCCCCCTTCCCCAAAGTGGTCTTCACCACTGAAAGCACCGGCCAAACATGCCACAAGGCCAAGCACAGCCTGGCACTGTGGGAGGCCGACCACAGGGTAAATACGACGCTGCCAGCCGAGCCTGGACTCCCCCTGACATCCTTTCTGTATCAAACAGGAGGGAACATACTCTTGCTGCTGCAGAGGGGCCAAAAAGCCCCCTGCCTCTGCCACATTCACTGATATGTTCATGAGAAATCCTGCTGCGGTGGACGGGAGACTGGGCTCCCTCCTGTGCCCTCTCAGCACAATGAGCCAGGTCCCTTGAGACGGTGAAAGAGCAGGACGTGCAGTGCCAGGGCACCTGCAGGACACCCCCAGCACCTGGCTTTGCTCAGAGCCCTGCAGAGATGGAGAGCAGTTCCCAGCAGCTTCCCAGCCTGCCCCTTTGCATAGGGGTAGCGCGAGTGCTGGCTGCGAACCTGAGGGCTGCTTGCTCGAGCAGCACTTGGTGTGGGCCAGGATCACTGAGTGCTCAACCCAGCAGCACCCCAGCCCTCCTTTGGGGCTTCAGGCACCAGCACAGCCCTATCTGCACACTCTCAGCGTGAGGGGAGAAGGTGGCACCCTGGGATTTAACACAGAGAAGGAGGCAGATTTTCCTTGCCGTCCTTGCCGATGTGAGTGTCCGAGCAGGCTCTTGCACACTGCGTGCACGCAGAGGCCTCCCTCCCCACTGTGCGTGATTACTGAAGAGCAGGGGCTGTTTGTGCAGCAGCGTCCTCGCTGTAGTGACAAAGGACTGTGGCTTTCAGGATGGAGGGGGCATTGCTGGAGGGTCTGAAACACATGGTGGCCTTCGGGGCTCACCGAGCTGGCACGGGCCAGTGACTCTGCAGGTCTGAGGGACTCCCTGCCCTTCCCCACGCTCAGCAAGCAGCACCAGGCTTAGTGGACAGCACTGTGGGTAAGAGCTGCAGGAGGGAGAGAGAAAACACTGGGAAGATGTGCCCTGAATCCCTTGCAGAAGGCTTTTGGAAGCCTCCTGGTCAATAGAAACCTTTTCATATCTCTGGGTATGTATGTGTAGCGCTGACTGCGGCTCTTCACAGCTTGCCATCGACATCTAGCGTTCAGCTGGGAGCGCGCTAACGTGCTCCCGCTCCCAGGAGCAAACACGGCTGTCAAGGAAGACGCAGCCGCTGCTGCCTGACGCCTTCCAGCCACAGCGCCGAGCATGGGCAGCGCGGCACCAGCCCGGGCAAACCCCTGCGCTGAAACCAGAAAGAGAAGAGGGCTAAAACCTACAAGACTTTTCATCCTGCATCCCCTTTGCTCCAGCCACTCGCAAGGATGCAGTGAGGTGCCATGTGTAAGAGCGGTTCGGGGACAGGGACGCAGGGCTGCCAGGAAGGGACGCAGCGTATTCCCAAACTGCTGTGCTCCACAGCACCGAGCAGCTGCTGCCTGGCGGAGCCTCTGTCCCCCCGGCAGCCCGGCAGAGGCGGGGGACAGCCAGCGAGATCATTCCTCATCTGCAGAGCTACCCAAGCGCAGCCCACGAAAGCCACGGCCTCTAAGATGATGAGCACCAGAGGCCGTGTTGTTGGGACTGAGAGCTGCCAGCGGCAGAGACGCTGCTCGAGCTGCAGGAGACTTGCTGAAGAAGCTCGTTAACCCAGCACTATTTAATATGCTGGAGGCTTGTGCGCAGCCCTCAGACCGCAGTAGGATCCAGTGCCAGGTTTCGCACGCTCAGCCCCTCATTGCAGTCAGAGGCGCACAGATCTGCACCAGAACCACGGCCAGATTTCCTGCTCTACAAGCAGCTGACCCAAACCCCAGCATTTCTAGCCCAGAACGCAGATGGTACAACACGGTGGGAAGAATGCCCTAGCACCCAGCTTACTCTAGGGAAGCAAAAAGACACATGTATAGAGAGAGCTTAACAGCAGCAATGATTAGTTCCCTTGTGCATCCTTGGACTTTGAGTTATATTCAAGTTATATTCCATGTCCATATGCATTTCAGTGCTTGGATTCACAGCCTCAGTCCACAGTAGAGCTAAGATATGAATCTCAAGGTATTTTGTAGTGGGAGAACCTGCAACCCAGAGCATTAAAACACAAAAACTGCAGCAGCTGCTATCTGCTATACAGGCACCTTTCAAGGTATACACTTGTCTTGGGTTGTGTGAATGTTATTTGAAACCTGTGTGCTGAAGCATTTTTATACATCTCCCAATTGTCCCAATATACATTGTTTATTTATTTATTTATTTTTTGTCCCAGGTCCGGGATAAGAAACTCCTCAATGACTTAAATGGAGCAGTTGAAGATGCCAAGACAGCTCGGCTTTTTAACATTACCAGCTCGGCCCTTGCCACCTTCTGTATCATCCTTATCTTCATCTTCCTGCGATACCCACTCACTGACTACTAGAGCGAGGCCAGCAGCGGCAGCTGCCAAAATGCCTCCATGCCGAAAGTGTCTGCAGTTATTTCCTGTAGCAAGGACGCAAAAACAACAACTACACCTTGATTGCAAAAAAAAGAGAAAAAAAAAAGAAAAAAGTAAATACATAACTAAAAATTAAATGATTTTATCAGCCTGATGAAGCATACCCTTTCTGCCCCTAAACTGTATGCGAACTGTAGGAAAGGGTTTCACTTGTACATTTATACAGGGAGAAAAATATCTATTTCATAATAAAAAGAAACCAAAACTGTGTGTCAGTAGAGTGCAAAACCTAGAGCTAAGTGACTCGAGCCAAGATGCCCAGCCAGGAAACGTGGCTGCGGCGGTGCAGGAGGAAGAGCAGCTGCAGAAACCGTGGCCCAGACACTAAGGTTTGATGCACGAGCAGTGAGCGCTGCTGCCGGGGAGCAGCAGGGCCCTGCCGGCCCCGGGGCTGCCGGCACCTCCCGAACCTCCGCGTTCATCCGGAGCGGGAAGGAGGAAGGCACCGGGACTGCTGCTGAGAGGGAGAAACCTGGGCACCCGAGCAGGGCTGCCACAGAACATATCACACGTGTGCTCCCAATATACTCTTTTTTTTCCCTTCTTCTTTTCGAGGGGGATGGTTTTATTTTTCCTTTTCCTTCTCTGATACAGTTCTCAGCTGAGCGTCATCCAATGGTTGCAACAACTTAGACCCCCCGGAGAACTGAATGTTATAGAAGTTCATACTAGAGGACCCCAAAGCCTCCAGACAAGCCCCAAAGAGTTACAGCAGACCATAGAAAAAGAAGGAAGGAGTCTCTGTGGGATCTCCTGGCACGGCTGAGAAATTAGGCACCTCCTGGAGAACGTGCGTAAATTCTGTAAGCCGACTGCTACTGTACTTGTGTAAACGGTCAATAAAGATACCTCTGATATCTGACGCTATGGGGGTAATTCCTAAGATCATCCTCTCCTCTCTGGACTTGCACATGAGTCCTAGGAGAGAGAAAGGACCTGGTGTGACCAGTGGTGCCCCCCCAAAATGGTGGTGCCCCCCCAAAATGGCGGCAGTGCCCCCCAAAATGGCAGCGCCACTCCGCAAAATGGCGGCAGTGCCCTCCAAAACGGCAGCACCTCCCTGGCAGCCGCCCCTAGGGAAACATCCCCAGTGCCAAAATGGGCACTGGGCGCAGAAAGCCAGCCCTGGGCATGTCGGCAGCGCCCTGAGGCAGCGTCAGCCACGGGTGGCCCCTGCCTGGGGCTTTGGGCCGCCATCCTCCATCACGGGCTGCGTCCACGGAGACGACTCCGGAGAGAGATCCACAAGATCCGTGCAGGTAAGGCATTTTTGTTTGTTTTAGGGGAACAAGGCAATAACAGGCAGGCCTTTTAAACGCTACTTTGTTTTGCTGCTGTCTGTTCGGTTCTTTTTTGTTTTTTACTTTTTTAATTGCTCAGGAAAGTTCTGGAATTTCGGGTGCTGATAGCCGGTGCCACCGCAGGGCTGGTTTCCGGCAGCCTCTCTGCCTTCTCACATCTGCTGCTTGAAACTCACCCGCAGAGCCATCACCAAGTTGCACCATTTATTTTCTGTCTGCGAGGATGTAGCCCCTGTTGCACTGGGCACAGAAAAGCCCAGTAAGGAAGCTGGCCCCAGAGGGGCCGTGAGACCGCAGCCATCTTGTGGCCTGGCGGCAGGAGCAGGGCTCTCCGATAAAGCGCGGTTGGGTTTCTGCCTTCAGGAGGCTCAGTTGGGTTTTTGCCTTCAGGACACTCGGTTAGGTTTCTGCTTTTGCTGGAGAGCATCAGGGGCTGGTGGTGCCACCGCGCTCCTGGGCGGCCGGGGTTTAACGGCACGGCGGTGAATGCGGCAGAGAAATGGTGCGTCTCTGACGGGTGTCTCCCGTGTGTAGGGTCTGTTAGGGTGGTGAGGGAGAGCTCGCATTAGGTGGAAAAACATAATAATAGAGGCCCGCGTTGGTGAGCGAGGGCGAGCAGCTCTTTGTCCCTGCGGGAAGCGCGCTCCCGACAGCCCTACTGCCGGAGACAGGTAGAGGGCCCCCTCATCCCGCTCCATGGGTGTCCCAGCAGCTGCGCCGCTCTGCTTCGCCGCCCATCTCCAAGGCATCTGGGCGCCAGGAAGAAGCAGGAGATAGACTTTTCCCTCCATACCCAACTCCGAGCCCATCGGCCGCGCTGCATGACCCAGGGCCCCCGTGCAAGGAGCCGCAGCGGCGGTGCAAACCGAACCACGGGGCTGCGGGGACGCGGCCAGGCTCCTTGCAGCGAGACGCACGCGAGGCCGGGGGGATGTGGGGCTGTGTTCACCCCTCTGCACCGGCCATGGGTCCCTTGGTTACACAATCCCAGCCCGGCCGCTCTGCCCCCTCGCCCGCCGGGACCCAGGCCTTGGCCATGCTGCTCCTGCTGCAAATGCTGTCAAGCCAGTTTGCAGGCACCGGATCAAATCCCAGCCAGGGTGAAATGGCTGGGGTTTAATACACACGTGCTCCAAGAGCACTAAGTGTCACCCCTGCGGTCTGTCACACTTTGGGGCCAGCAGTGTTGTATAGGGCAAGGTGGGACTCCCTCAGGTAGCCCCGTGCCAGCTCAGTGCCGGCATCCTCGGGCTGCCGCGATGGGGCTGAGCCGACAGCCTGTGTTTTTGTGTCAAAGCCAAGCGTGGTGAGTCAGCGCTGGAGCAGCCTTCGCCCTGGATACCTGAGTTGCAATCAGAGGAGTATGCAAATCGCAGCATCGTTTGCATTTGGTTCCTGCTCTTCTGCGGGTAGAGTTAAATCACCAACGAAACTCTGGCTCTTTCCCCAAGTGCTGCACTCCCCCGTGCGTCATGACATCCATAAGGCATCTGTCGTGCTGCATGCTGTTTGAGATGGTCCAAAACATGGTGTCTCGGAGGCAGAGCCCTTGCTGGTCTTCCCAGATGTGCACTGATGCCCTGGGTGATCTTACAGAGGTCACTTTGCCTCTATATTTCCTCTCTGACTCTCTTTTTCATCATTTATTGCCTTCTTGGAGCAGGAACTGCCTCCTTTCCGAGTACCGCTCGCTCCTGGTCTTGCTTGGGACCTTGTCTTTGCAGCAGTCCCAGGCTAGTGCAGCCGCGGCAGATAGCAGGTACCTGGCTCATGGTAGTGAGTGGGGTATTGGTGGAACTGTCCCTTCCTTCCTCTCCTTCCCCATGCCCGAGCACCCCCGTGCAGGATCCGTGCCGCGGGTGATGCAGCTCACACTGCACAGGCTCTGCGAGGGGGAGCGCGGGGGAGGCACAGATGGCAGCAGATGCTCTCATCAATGAAGATGATTTGGGCAAAATGCAAAACAAACAAACAAAAAAAAATCCTAGCAACTGGTACACAGACTAACAAAGCCCATCACAGGGGTAGGAAGAAGATCCTCAGCCTAACAGAGCCCTCACCCCTGCACAGAGCCTAACAAACCGCTGGCTTAGCCTGGCTTCCTAGGACCGAGTCAGTACCTGGCATAGACGCATTAAAAGGAAGGAATCAACACGCTTAATGGAGTTGAGGTGGTTCCTGCACTGGAACCTCAAGAAAAATTGCTCTGTGTTGGGTACAAAGGTCGTCATCCTCCTCCCCTCCCAGCCCCGACCTGTGCGCCGCGCTACCAGCCGTGCCCTGCATATAGCACAGCTTTATGGCTTTGTGCAGGTTTTCTCAGACACAATCAGGTGGAAACCGAGAGGATTTGTTCAGTGTCATTCTTTCTCTTTTGTCTGGTTGCTTCTCTTGCTGCATTTGCCTGGGGTGCCTAGCAGCACAGTGGGAGCTGCAGCGCGACCGTTTCTCGTGCGTGTGCCGAGATGAATGGCACAGCACGCAGACCTCCAGCCCTGCCCTTCCGCAGCTAATTGCATGGGAGCTGCTTTTGCTACACACACACGCAGTAACCTCTGTCCTGCAAGTGCCGAGCCACGCTGTGCACATGCGTGTATTTTTATAGGGGAAATGGAGACAGATCTGACACAGCCTTCTGTGTAAGGAGCAAGGCAGCCTCACAGTGCTCTTTGTGTCCTGTTGAAGCACAGCAGCCCTCTTTGCTCGCTGAGTGGCACCATTTTGAGCTTTGTGGAAAGAAGGCAGCATGTGGAGAGGCACCGGGACCTTCGGAGGGGAGTGCTGCTGACGTGACTACCTGGGTGCGTGCGGATGGCAGCCAGGAAGGGGAGAGATTCACTTTCCATGCTATGATACACGACTGTCCACAGTCAATATGTTTCTCTACCGGCTCCTGCTGGCTGCAGTTTCATAGCTCAAAAGCAGCCAAAGGCAGCACCCTGAACAGCAGTACAAGCCAACGGAGCAGCCCTCGGCTGAGCAGCGTGGAACAGCATTTGCAGCCCCTGGAGCCTCCTCCCCTTCTTGTGGCACCTCCGCACGCCCGGTGCCAGGACAGCCGCCCGGCGCCCGCTGCGGGGCCGCGCGCGAAGGCGGCACGAGCCCCGCGCAGAGCCGAGCCGTGGCAGCCAAAGGGTTCCTGTCATCTCTGCCAGCAGCGACTCGGGGTGCTCAGACCCTCTGCGATGGGAGGTGACTCATCCCCTTTGCAAACCCATCGCAAACCGCAGTTTTCCCTGCCGATCCGCAGGCTGCGCCTGAGCAGAGCTGCAGCCGGGAGCTGTTCCTTAGGAAAGGGCTTTGATGCCCGGTGGTGGGGGCAGTGTATTCCCAGCCTCCTGCAGCACACAGCCCTCGCGAGCGGGAAGGGAGGAGGGCTCACCCAGCGGCGCTAGCCGCTGCATCAGCAACCTGGGCAAGGTTAAAAACAGCTATTCAGCTGCTTGAAGTATTTAAAAGAATCTTTTTTTTTTTTTTCCTTTTTTTTTGATGGGTAGGGAAGTTGGTCTGGCAGCAATTTGTTGTCCTCGGCTTTAATTTACTTATCAGGTTCTGACTTTAATCCCTGTAGACTCTAGGAAAATGGAGTATGCAAAGTCTGCACTTGGCCTGCAATGACAACCATAGGTCCTGGAAAACGTTTTAGCAAGAAGCATGACGTGTGTAAGCGCAGCTTGCATTCAAAACACGTAGCTGGGATGCAGTCAATCTTCGGATGTGCCTGAAATGTGGGAAAGAGGAAAAGGCAGTGGGGAAAATAGGGTGAATTATTTCCTGAGTGCTTTTTTATCTGAAATAAAGCACTTCCCTTTAGCACTGCGCAACTTGCTGCATAATTTTTGCTGGGATTCATTAGGAGTAAGCGGGAGCAGGAGGGATGCTGGCCCTGTGGCTAAGACAATGGGGGAACATCTGGCAGATCTGAGCTCAGAGCCTGTCGCCGCTTTGTTCTTCCGAGGTGACCATAACAACGTTGCCCTGCCTCTCTCTGCTTAATTTCCCTTGTGTGACACAGGGGTAGCGCGAGCGCCGGGAGCCGCTGCCTGCGTGTCTGCGGGTCACTGCCCGCCGGGACGCCGATGCCGGGGCAAGGGCTGCCTCCTGGATGTAGCCAGAACCACAGGGCCGCCCCTGCACGCTGGAATATCAGGTCGAACAGGATCAGGATCTGCATGGGGTTAGCTGGAGGCTTGGAAAGCCAGGTGATGTTTCGCAAGGCTCCGTCACCACCTGCCCATGGCCCCTGCAATCCCCAGAGCAGCTTTAACCCCCGTGAATCATTTGTGCTGCTTTTCCCTGGGGGCCTTTTGGCGGCAGCGCCTGGCTCGGAAGCCGAGGGCGTGGGAGAGGAGCAGAGCCCACGGCCAGGCCCTCTCCTGCCCGCAGCACGAGAGCCCCGTGCAGGTGAGTGCCAGGAATTAACAGTGCAGGGCAACACATCATGCGCTTGCAGCCCCCGGGACTCGCCGCTGGCTGCCTCTCCGTGCCATCTTCCTCATCCTCGCTTGGGGACAGAGGTTGTTGGCAGCGTGGAAGTCGCCTTCCCGGCGGCCGATCCCGC